GCACGAAAGGTTGTCTTCGTCCCCTTCGCCCTTCGTCAAAGAACGTAAAACGAAACATGGTGTCAGAAGTGGGATCTCTCCGCGAGTCTACTAATAATTAGTAAAGCGCAGGACCAACTACAAACGAAGGAACAATGGACAAGCCCTCAAGTTATGTCGACAACGGTGCTACCGAACAAACGGTCACGGCAACTTTTCGCATCTCGCCACCCGAAGCCTTCAGTTTTACAACACCTAACGAATGGCCGGCGTGGAAGAAGAGATTCAAGCGCTTTCACAGTGCATCAGGACTGGCATCTCAACCATCATCACACCAAGTCGACGCTCTCATTTACATCATGGGACCACAAGCTGAAGACGTCTTTCAGACCTTCAAGTTGTCCGACACCGAGGCCCAAGATTTCGAGAAGGTGATGGAGAACTTCGAACGTTACTTCATTCCTCGTCGAAACGTGGTGTATGAGAGAGCCGTGTTCAGAACAAGGCCCATACACCACGATCGTACTGGATAACGTCCGAGGGTCAAGAGATCCGAAGAAATTGCACGCATTTAATTCCTTTCCCCGATCAACAAGATAAACAATGCATCGAAGAGTTCCCCGAAACAACCACGAGGCCCGCGGAAACGTGTGCCGACACCTCCCACAAACATTCTCGGCACGGCCGATGTGTAAAAGAGCCACACCAGCCACACCGTTTCGGCACTTCTTCGAAGCTCCCTTAGGAAGAGGGGCGCCGACGCTAGCGAGCTCCAACCAAACGAGAACAACCGTTCGCGCGCAGCCCGAGATCTAAACATCCGTTCGTCCGCTTCGCGCGTAACCTGAGCGCCCCGTACTAGAGGCGCCTTTCTTTTATTTCGTTTAATATTTAACAAACGAAAAGTCAGTCTTCAGCCTGAGTCCGGCACGAAAGGTTGTCTGTGTGTGCCGTCCGTCAAAGAACGTAAAGCGAAACATCAATAATCATAGCGATCATAACTAAGATTAGTTGCGACCCCTGCGTAAACAAAGTTCCGCGGGCTCAGGAGATCGGCATGATAAAGTCAAAACTCTATTCTGTTCGTCTCCTCCTCTAGATAACCTTGACTAGACGGAAACAGACAAGTTTGCGCAGTGAGGTCCTTTGGTGAGAGAAGAATAGTTGGGGACAGCGAACCGGTCCGATACACAGCGAGCTCGGTCGGAAGCACGAGGTCAGCAAAGCTTATCGTAGGTCAACGAGGTCAACTAAGCTTATCAATGATTGTCTCAGGTGTATCGTCTCAGACAATCATTGCGCTCCCTCGCGCTCATCAAAAGGGACCGGCGTTTGAGTCAGTTCGATGAAGAACAGAGTGCTTCATCGAACTGATTACGCACCCCGTTTGATGCAAGAAAAAAAAAAACTGTCTGTTTTATTATTTTTATCTTGAAGACGAGTCGTCTTCAAGTTCTACGTGGCTGTCAGAAATATTTTGTTCATGATTTGTTAAACTACGTAAACAAATTACAACCATATGTCCAACTCTTGGTGAAACGCTGGCTGCCGCTTTGGAAGCTCTACGTTCTTAATTCCTACCAATTTCGCTCCTGTTCGTGTTTCAAAGTAAAGGAAATGGCAAGAAGCTTCCTTTAGCCGTGAGATTTGAAGGCAAAATTACAAAGCAACAAGAAAATTTTAATCATTGTCTTTTTAGCTATAACGGCTTTTGTAATAATAGCAAGGGGTTTCATTTCTCTCAGAAACCGGGCTATCGCATGTAACATATAGGCTGCATATTCAAGTTCACTTAACCGCACTCTGCTTCAGCGATTTAATCGGTAAGAACACTCGCCCGCCAAATCTCGAAATATAACGTCTAGCTCGTCCCGCTCTCAGACTGCAGGTGGCATTACTGTTAACATGAATGGTTAATTTTGCCCTCCGTAACATGTCAGATGTTCCAGGATTCGTCATGAGCATATATAATGGCAAACTGATCATGATGAACTGGCTTCTAAAACCGATTGTTATTATTGAGGCCGCCAGTACCATTGTGGTGAAGCCAGAATAGTTGAACCAAGGATTGAGTGACAGGCTTAAAATTGGCTTATTTAACTGGTTGTCACCAAAATACAACAAAAATATTACACCCAAGACTTGTATACACTATTTCTACACCTTATGGGCTATGAAGCAAAGAAGTTAGAAGAAAATAAAAAAAATGGCCTTTTTGAAAAAAATTATTTCGAAATTTGTAGATTTTCAATTTTTGTACATACTTAGGGTGAAATCAATAGTGTTCAATAAAATCGATAAACAAGAAACACATACCAATCGATAGGTTATTTAAATAACTACGTATGTCTCATGACATAGCTCCATACCGTTCATTTGATATAGCTATCCCAATGTTAGTCGAAATTGCTCTCCGTGGCATGTTTGCGATTTTATGTAAAAATAACTAAAAATGGTACAAAAATATAATTTATCTCTAAAAATAGCACACGTCGCATACTTATAGTATAAGAAGTATTAGGAGTAAGTGATAGCTCAATATTTTGTGAAGACCGTCTAAACTTGAGCAGAAATGGAATCGCGATTTCCACGTATTTCACCCGGCAGCGTTCTATATATATATTTTTTTGCTCTCCAACTACATATTTCTAAATTTTTTGGAAAGGCAGTTTTGTTCATCGCAGGGATTGGGATTTCACATATATTTTTTACAGATAATTCTGAGGACCGACCCCGACAAGCTTGGTCGAATTCAAATGAAACCACCCCATATATACACACATATATATATAAAGTGAGCATATGCTTCCTCATATCATAGTTCCTGATAAAACTGATAGTATTTTTAAATAAATAAATAAACTTCCGTTGACACAACCCGTCTCGTGTGCATTTTGCCATGGACATTATTAAACCATGGACCTTGCTCCTGCGCCAGTAAATAACACAAAACGCAAAAAAAAAAAAATTAAGTTTTTATTGTTTGCTTTATTTGAAAATGCTACTGCCTGCCAGGATAAAAACGTTCATGAAAATGGCGTTCGGTGATATTTACACTCTTTTATATCTAGTGCATGTTACAATCATGTAACGATTGGAACTCTGATAAGACCATGGGATGGATGATGACAGTTTGGGAGGTAAATGCACGTGTCACCTATCTACCTAATAAGCCACACTTCACTTACGAAGCGGCACGTGCTTTCCTACTTGAACCCCCCCCCCCCCCCCCCCCCCCCCCCCCCAAACCATGTGCCCATGAGGAATAACAGTTATACCAAACAAGGTCATTTGTTCTCCGGGGATCAATCGAACCGCTAAACACCCACGGCAAAACTACACGTAAAAAAGAAATAATAATAAGTCAATAATAAGCAGCTCGTAAAAAAATATATTCTAAAGAAGGAACACGGTAGTGCTGCGACCACATGCCCCACCACCACCGCGCACCAAGAGTTGGTTGCCACCGGTGTAATTTCCATAATTACAGGGCAATTACGGAGGACGGCGAGTCGGAGTTCGAAAGGTCCGCAAGAAAACAATGGTTGGGCCACCACAGCTTCAGAGGACATGCTGCCTTGGTGAGGGACACCAGCAGCCGCCATGCAGGAAGGAACTGTGCCGTCCGTCGGCGGAGGTAGCGCGGGACACAAAACGAAGGAAAGCGTACAGACAAAGAAAAAGAGACGAGCAGGATACGCTTGCGTGCGTCGTATTGCCTCCTCCTCTCCCCTCTATTTCGTGTCGTTGTTCAAGGTTAAGAAAGACAGAAAGCGGAAAACACAGACGGATGGAGCGAACGGGGAAAAAAAAAAGAAAAAAAATCGCGGTTGAAAGGAAACGGCATGAAGTTCTACTGGCACAGTCAGTGTGAATTTCCACGCCTTGTGGGCTAATCGAGACAGCGATCGTGTGGCAATACCGTTTTGATGTGTTTAGCTCAATGAGAGAAGTCGAACACCTCACGTATGCTGAAACAAACCACAGGTGGAAAACACACAGGGGAAAACCGAGCTTCACCAAACTTAGCAGGAAAAGTACAAAAATAAAAATAGAAAAGACGAACTTTATACTCCTACAAATATCCGTGGCAAAGAAAAACATGCCAGTTTGTCCGTACCTTCTACGTCAATCGGTGATATGATTTATTCCTTTTTTTCAGGAGTTTTCACTTGGGAGTTATGCAGAGAAGCCGAACTTACATACAGTGACGATAAGTGTTCACAGGACGCATCGTAGCTTAAAGGGCCAGGAACATCATTGATCGGACGTTAATCAATAAAATCAATCAAGGAAAACGTAATTTTCTCTCTTCAGAAAACACCCCAAACGCGAGAGCACGCGTAGAACGATCGTTAAAGACCTATATAAATAGCGGAAAAAAATAAAAAAAGAACTCAAGCTTCCGATGAAGCCCACTTATAACAGGCAAACATCGATTCATGAGTAGTGCTATACTCTATAGTTAATGTACGGGTAAACAACTCTTACCGCCGTGCGTTACTGGGATTGACGACAAATCGAGCGGAAGCGAAAAACTGTGCACGAGCACGGTCTTCTCACATCCCGCGATTAAACGGCAATGAAATAATAATATACCTTCGCGTCAGCTGCACGACGAGATGGCACGTTTTGTGGGCGAGCTTTGCGGCTACAGGTATTGCATTACAAAAATACGAATTCGCCGCCGCAAGTTCGTTGATAGATATGCATCTGCATCTCAACAAGAGCAGCGCCGACGTTGTACACAATAAATCCCCCCTCCCCCCTCTAAAAAAGAAATACAGAAAAGACGCGAAATTCCATAGTGTTCTACGTTTGTCCGTACAGGTCAAAGTCAAGCGGGAAATATCAAATGGTCACAGAATCACGCCACACAGTCCGCGCCACGATCCGGACCCGGCTCTATCACAGCGGATCAGCGGATGAAGTGATCGATTGGTCCTCGTACCTCAAACCGCGTTGTTGTTGCTTTTCAAATGCACGTAGCTTGAACAGCGGTAATTTGATGTCGTACTTACTTAGCTTGACAGCAGCTCATATTTCTTTTTCTTGTACGGAAGAGACGAGGCGGGAAGCGACGCACAAAATGTACGAGATTCACGGATTCACGGAGGGACTCAAACCGGGAAATTTATATGCCGGAAAAGCCGGAAGTGACGTTGCACACATAACGCGCTTGCGTACTTTGTTTCGAAACCGAAACAAACCCGTTTTAGTTTTAGGATACGGTAGTTCGATAAATGGGTACGGACGTAATCGCGCTCCCTTTCGATAATTTCGTCCTCGTTTTAAGTTATATTTCAACTCTTTGTACGTCTATCATGACGTCTATATCTTACATCTATGAACATTCACGACTTTGGGCTAATATTGCTTTTGGCAGTCAGAGTTGTCTGAACGCAGCACACACAATATTTGATTATTATTTACTGATTTACATCATATGCCTTACATAAGCACGTTACAGTAAGCACATGAGCACCTTTATTGACCCCCTGTCTTTATATTATTATTGTTACAATTATTCTTCCTCCTAGACCATGTGAAAAGCTGGGAATCCCGAGATTACATTGTGCCAGTCAGTACATTGAAAGCTGAGCTCCACAACCAAATGTGTTTCAAATCATATCCCACACATTTAGGAAATAAAGGAACTGCAACCACAGCACAAGCAAATCACCTACAACGAATGTAACTGCCCGGTGGCTTTCCTCATCGGATGCTTGCCGTTCCACAGAACCGCGCACCATTTTTTTCTTTCTTCTTATTTTACTTCGATTTTGATGCAGTTAAAACGTTTCTTACAAACTTGCAATTCCAGAACTTGAAAGTATACAAACAAAAATAAAAAAAAAAACTCAAAAGCAACCAATTTTATTGCAAATTTTTTTTTAAGCTGACTGCAGAAAGACAGACTGCGGAGTTGTTTATTTTTGAACATATCTCCGTCCAACAGACGCATATAGCCGATTTACAGGATACAACAGTTTTTTAGGTAATATTGCTCAATCACAATTGAGCAATATTTCACGATCTTCAGGCTTCAAGTTCCCCTCCACCATTTAAACCCTTCTGTGCAGTTTCAGCTTTGACTTGCCAAATGGCAAAAGCTACGGCCATACTGAGCCAACCAGTGCTAGAGCAAGGCATGCGACAATCTACCAATGCCCTTCACTACCGCTGCGGAGAGCCGCTGGGGCCGTGAAGTTCTAACCTTTCATAGAAAACACATATTCAGCATATTTCAGCTAACGCTAACCGCATGTTAGGTTACATCAAGCGAAATTTTTCATTAGCCCGTCTCACTGAAATTAACTCTTTACAAAGTTTTAATTCGTCCCAAGTTAGAATATGCAGCTTCTGTCTGGGATCCCGGACTAGTCACTCTCGTATCTACATTGGAAGCCGTTCAGAACAGATCCGCTCGTTTCATCCTCACAAACTATCACCGCACCGCTAGCGTCACCTCTATGAAAACAACTCTCTCCTTACCACCTTTATCCCTACGTCGTAAAAATTCTCGTCTTTCCCTATTCCATAAAATGTATCACCATAATTCTTTCCTGTGCGACAAAATAATTGCTCGGCCTGCCTATGTTTCCTCCCGTCTTGATCATCAACATAAGGTGGGCATTCCTAACTCTATCACAACCACGTTTTATTCATCTTTCGTTCCCCGTACATCCCAGGAGTGGAACCACCTTCCCCGGTCGATCGCCATTATCACGGACTCTGAGCTCTTTAAAAGTACAATAACTAATTACTTTATTACTGAGTGTGTCTAAATATGTATTATGTTGTTTGCATTAACCTTCTTGTTGCTCTCCCCCTCTGTAATGCCTTCGGGCCCTGAGGGTATAATAAATGAAATGAAATGAAATGAAGTTCAAAAGGAATGTAATTACCGCCATACAAGCAATGTTTTTTTTTTTTTTTTTTTTTTTTTTGCAAATACTATACACGAATTCATTTCTGTCATTTGGGCAACCTGAAAATTTAAAAGTAGCTGAAGGTTTCACCTGGAACTCCTTCAGAAGCAGGGCTAGAAATAGTATGCAACTGTCCTTACTAGCAAGTTTTCAAACCCACAGGAAAAAAAAATATATATATATATTGCAATTTAAGAAAGAAATTTTCTTGTGCAAGTAAAACCCGACAAAAAAAAAAAAAGGAAAAAATAAACTTTGCAAGCATAGTTTGGTAGAAATGATGATTTATTTTGACGACTATACACGGGAAAATGGCTGCTACAAGTACCAAACCAGGTAGAAAAAAAACTTGGTACAGAAAGACACCTGCACACCTAGAAGAGCTTTGTATCACCTACACTGCCACAATAAAAAGGACAAATCAACGGCAAATAATGTGTGAAAAAAAAAAAAAAATCAGAATGATCACAGTGAAAATAAAGATGTTCCTGTAGACCCCGCTCCAACTCATCTACCACAACTGGCCAAGGAAACTAATTTTCACGGGTACGGAAAGGACTTCTCCATCTGCGAGGTACGACAACTCAGACCCCAGCTTTGTGAAAAAGAGTCTCCCAGACATGTGAAAGCTCATTCGCAACACTTAAATAGCTCAACAGTTGTTGATGGTCCATGCATGCAATCTTTCGCAGTACTCCCTACGACTTTTTTTTTTTTTTTTTTTTTTTTAGCCCTTCGTTTTGCGGATTCCCGACATATATTAGGCTATCAAAAGTCATTTCTTACAACACAGACCTGCAACGAAATTGATGATTCAGCGGCACTGTGGTATTGGGTCTTCTCCTGCAATAGCCAGAGCTTAACGACTCCTAAAGCACGACCACTCGAAAAAAAAAAAAAAAACGCAAGGAAAAAAAAAAGGTAGAGGACGAGGGAGGGAAAAGCTGGCATCACAATCGCGAAACTGATATTGCGCTGCGGGAAAACCTTTGTGCACTGAAAACGAAAAACGGGAACCTGTCCGAAAGCCTCGCGGGCATTCCAAACCGCTGGCTTCGTATCAAAATAGACAACATCGCACTTGAGCGGACGTTACATTCTTTTTCCTTCTCTTCGTTAAAACCTTGATAAAACAGATCTTCGTAAGTCCACGAGACTTGTCGGGGTTTCTCAGCAAGTCCGAGAAGCGCCGGGAAAGAGCGTGAAAGCACCTTAAAAACACTTTGAATGAACACAATGGCACAGTGAGGGAGAAAACGAAGATGGGGAATAACGACAACAGGAAGGAAAGTAGCAAGAGAGAGGGATCGAGATATAAAAAAAATTACTCTTCGTCGATCTTTGACAAGCAACTGTCGTTGGCAGTTGTGCCTATGTCGCGATAATCCCAACTGCCAAGAGAGGAAAAAGAAAAAGAGGAACCGTTGAAAACAGATTGAAGCGCACGAAAGGTGTGTGTGAAGCGAGGTCCGGACTTTGGTTCCGCCAAGAGCGACCCGCTGGCGGCTCGGTGGGCCGCAATGAAAACGAGGGTTTTGGTCGGGATAGTGAGAAATGAAGGCCGGCTGCATCCAACAAAAGGAACAAAGTCGAATGAAATGCGATGAATCTGGCAATGCCTGTCCGCCGATTCGTCAAAGGAGGCTTGTTTGATTCTCGTTGGAACTGTACAAGGTCCTTTCATTCGCAGCTCACTTTTCTGCAAGAGACAGAGAGGTGGAAACATACTTTCAGAGACCGAAACATAGTTATAGAGAAATCTCTGGTGAAAACAATGTTTTTCTCACATTAGAGGTCACATAAAGCGCCCACAAAATTGCAACTGCAACCTGTTCAAAGGCATTTAATGCAAAAGAAATGTTTCATGTAACGAGTGGGGCCAATGGCACATTGGCCTTTTCAATTGGCAGCAGAAATGGTTTCTTCATATATCACACTATGATTTACTATAGAAATGCCTGCAACTTGTGCATTTTGCGTATGTATCAAAATTACGAAGAATTAACTTTCTAAAGTAAAATGTAAAGAATTAAGAATTTCTCTTCATACTTATAGTGTCTATCTGCAAATAACATGTCTGATTGACGTAACGCTCAAAGGAAGCTATCAGCGTTCTCGCCAAAGGAGGCAATCTTTTTGAATAAACAGGATTCATGTTTCGGTGTTAGTTGTCAGTGCATGATTGTGTTATATTACTAATAAAATGCATTGAATAGACACAAATCCAAACGGAAAAGATAGTTTGCTGGCTTATTTCGGTTATGCAAACACCCTTTGTGGACCGCTGCTGCTATCTGTTACACCAATCAGACGCGTGTCATTTGCAGACGGATGCTATAGGTACGAACAAGCATTATTTTTTGCCACTTTTTAATTAGAATTTTATTATTTGAAATCTTGATACATCAAATGCATTACCTAGATCAACTAAATGAGCTACGCTTAGAGTATCGGCACTCTGTTCCCTGATTAGGTTGTGGGCGCCGCCATCTTGGTGCTTGTGCAGAGCAGACGCAACTGCCAATCGTCACGATTCAAAAGTGGGACTTCCTCAGCATTAGAGTCGGTGTTGGGAAGCTCAGGCAATATTTCTTTGCTCCGTCATGAACTGTTTAAACATTTGTGGAGGACAGAAATGAGTTTCTTTCGATTTCAGACAAAGCTTCATGTAACTGGCAACCATGATCTTAAGCTCCAAGGATAAATGTCGTTACTCTGAAGCGTAGCTTATTTAGTGGCTCTAATATGGCAGCTCTACTAAATGTGGCTATGGGCAGCTCTACTAAATCGTAGTGCCATATATCATAAAATACCGGGGGAATAACCGCCCAACTTTCACTGAAAATCGGGTTACCCTAAGCAGAGGCGCGTGTCCGATCAAATCGGCCGCTTAACAAATAATTTGCAGAATTCCCAAGTTTGGGAAATGTTAATCGTGGGCGCTTGAACGAAGAGGGTGCTTTTGTGGTATCTTAATATATGGATTTATGAGGTCCCTTACATGGACTCGCGAGCCAACAAATGCACCCAGTAAAAAAAAAAAAGACGCAAATACATATTGTACGCAACTTGTCCCCACATTTCGATCAGAGATAAGACGATGTTGTAGTTACTTTTGCACTAAAACAATCATTCTTTAATTTATATTTCACTTAGAATAACACTGGTGAAAAAGATATTAAAAAATGAAGCACATTTTTTAATAATGTTTTAACAAAAATGTAAGATATTTAAAAATGTTTGCACAATTAGAAAAAGAGAACTGCTAATGCATCTTGGTGTATTCTTGTCTGTATGTCTACCGTAAAGTTCCGAGACAATGGCCGCCTCCGAGAAATCGCCTATCCCGTTTTCCTGGCTAAATATCTGTTCTGCGACATAAAAATTCCTAAACACAGCCCTACCCCAATGAATGCATGCAGCAATGGGTGCGATTCCCGTCTGACATCACGCGATGTCAGACGGGAATCACACCCATTGCGCAATCGCTGTACCGGCACGTCTGACAAGCGAGTTCACAGCGGGTTCCCATGTTTTTGTCCACGATCTGCACGTGCAATATCGACTCCCGTAACACGAGAGTTTTTCCCGCGTGCATGACGCAATGTGAAATGTGAATCTGCTGCATCCGCGATCTGGGGTATCCGTTCCCAACAACACGAAGTTTGTAGAGGATTCCCGCATTTTTGTCCGCAATCTCAATTTTACGCGACTTAGACTAGCGTGTATATTGCATTGTGAAATATGATTCTGCTGAGTTCGTGATCTGCAGTGTTTGTTCCCAAAATACACTCGTTTGTAGCAGATTCCCCCATTTTTGTGTGCGATCTGCACGTGCGATATCAGTTCCCGTGAGAGGCAAGTTTGTAGCGGGTTCCCGCATCTTTATTGCACCGTAAAAGTGTAACCTTGTACATCCGCGATACCCGTTTTCACGAGATGCGAGTTCTCGACGGGTTTCCGCGGGTCCTTCACACCGTCAAATCTGCTACGTCCGCAACCTGCGGTATCCTTTCCCGTGACACTGGAGTTCGTAGCAAATTCCCGCGTGCTTAACGCACCGTGAAACGCGAATGCGGCGTCCGCGATCTGCGGCATCAGTTCCCGTGTCACGTGGTTTGTAACCGGTGCCAGGGTGTTCATTAATTTTTGATAAAGTTTTGCTGTGGCATCCCCAAAGATAGCCCACCCCTTTTCACCATTTATCTCTTCATTTTGAGTGGGCGTTCTTTTGGAACTTTACAGTAGCACGTTACAAATTTTCTTCTGCAAGCTCAGAAGCAGTTGCAATTACAAGAGCAGTCATTATCAAGTGCCTTTTGAGAAAATCTAGGGTAATCACAGATCTATCTACTGGAATAATGCACCCTAAAATTAGTCTACTAAATGGTTCTTCAAATATGGGCCAGGATGATTAAGTTCCAGCAACTGAGTTTACGTTAAGATGCAGTGCCCACTCTGCGACCGTGTATCGAGGATCAAAGGCACCTCCAAAATTTTGTTAAAATTTGCTTAGCCTACTGCCTCACAATCTCTGGGAAGGCAAATGAAACATTCTTTCACAATGTGTATGACAGATCTAAGAAATTACAGAATATATGCAGATGAATGAACTGTACTTTATTGAATGAAACAGAGTTTACGAAGCCGCAGAAAGACAGACCCTTTGGAGGTGCGGGGTGTAACACTAGGCCTCCCAATATCCAGCCAGGCATGCTAACCACTACACCACTCTGCCACAGGTAAACTAGCCACTAGTAGTTAGCATAACTGACCTGATACTGGGAGGCTTGGAGTTCCTATCCCGGCTCCACCAAAGAATTTGTCTTTCAACAGCTTCGTAGACCTCATTTCATTTGATAAAATACGGTTCATTCATTCGCATATTTTGAAGAGCACAAACTATGATGAAAGTGCCCATGAAAGATCCAAATAAGCTCAGAAAATATGAAGATATGACTAAGCTCCAACTTCCAACATCTATGATCAAATAAATACTATGGAAGCATAGTAATACAAAAAGAGAACAGAAGCTACGACTTAAGTAAATAGTAATTAAAATTCATACATTGATGCTTTTTTGCATTCTACTAAGGCAAAGGGGCCCTTATTACTTGGCTAAGCGCCCCGACTGAGAAGTTTTTGCTATACAACTAGTTCTCATTATGGTCTTTAAATTGCAAAAGAACACAAGAAAACAGTGCTTGCTTGCTCTTTTTAACTGTGTCTCATTCTGTACAGGTGACAGTGAGGTGCTTATCAGTATGACAAAAATGTAGCTACTAATAATTGTAATAGGGTGCCCCGCAAAATTTTTTCGTACGCCATTCTTCTTCACGGCAAAAATAAACCATGCATCACAGAATGCTCATTCTCCATCCAAATGCAGGGCTAGAGGTTCAAATACTCAATTCCCCACCCCGTTCAGTACGCCAGAATAGGCGGCAGAACCAACCATGCCGTGCAGCACCATTAAAAAAAAAAAAAAAAGAAAAAAAAAAGGGAAGAAGCGAAAGCATGTCTTACATTCCTGATTAGCCGTGATTACGACTAGTACTGACCCCGAAATGGGTGCGGGAAGTTGCCGGCCATCAACGAAGACGCAGCTCCACTGGAATATCCTGCAACGGTCGACATGGGACGTTGGGGGAGGGAGAGGGGGAAGAGAGAAGAGAGAGGACATTAAGTTCGGAGAACAAACGACCTGCTCGCCCACTACACATCCCATCACCGTGCTCATTTTACGAAGGCTTCAGTTCACACCAGTGAACGGACGGGGCTTTCACCCGCTCATTTTGGCATTTGAAGCGAGAAACATTTCGAAACGGTCGAAGCCGGCTCGTTTGGTGTTACGCTGTGCTATGTTATGCATTAACCTAGTGTCCTGCTAGTTTGAACTGGCCTCAATGAAAGTGAGCAGTTGTCCGGAGAGAGGACCTTACGCACAAGTGCTGGCAGCGATACATCCAATTCCTATGTGTTACAATTCGTTGGTTGTAATGTGGGCCCCTGCTGGTGCGACACTTTCCACTTTTCGTTATGGAACCGAGACCGCAGTATTATTAACCGATAAGGACGACAAAAAACAAAGCAAGGAGTGCGAACACGACGAGCCACGCCTGGTGTTTCTGAGGCTGCTATTGAATACGATTACTAGTTTAGTTACGCTGCCCCTAACGCGCACCTCTGCCGCTATAAACCCAGAAAAAAAAAAAAAAAAAAAAGTTTCGTCCAACAAAAAGTTATATTTTAGAACAAGTTACGCGAGGTCAGTAGCCACATTAGGGTCCCTGTCGTCTCGACGAAATGCTGCCGGGTTATGCGCAAGGTCCGTCGCTCGGAAAGAACCCCGTTAGTGGAGCCACGAGGGCGGACAGAGTTATGGCTACGTCTGTACGATCGCCAACGCAGCCACAGTTGCTCAATGCCTCATAGCATTGCACGGAGCCACGTTCTAGACCTTACTTTTGGTGACTGCGTGAAAACTGGTGAAGACTAGCGACCGTTTTAGGAGTAGCAGCACAAGTGCAGCAATCAAACTATGCAGTGAAATGTGCATCACATTGAGGCTTGAATTTCATTTGCTGCACTCTTTTCTAGCACGACGATGCGCTTACTAGACGTGGTCGGAGGCAATACACCAGTTGTGACTAGCCTACAGTCGAGCGAAGCTGGTGTTGTAACCAAGTAGACCGAACGAATAATAGACAAAAAAAGGTAAATTTGATAGATTTAGTGTTTTACCAACCATGCCCCACTGAAAGACAAAGTCTTAGTCTTATTTAGACTGCCTATGGTTAACACGCAACCAAAAGCTGTTTTACGGCACCAATATCACTAAATTACTAAAGCGTGATGGATCAGGCGAATTAGAAAGTAGTAGAACAGGTAGAAGTTGAACATCAAGCTGAGCTCAGTGCCATGCACGTGGTATGCAGCTGGCAATATATCCTTATCCACGAGGCCTCACACTTCTACTGAAACCTGCATGCCTATAGCATTATCTGTCGACCAACTAGGTTGTCCACCTGCCTCTCGGCTGAGCAACTTTCTAACACTGAAATGACTCAACACAGTGAGCTGTAGGTACGAAGCTTTGCTCGTTGGATGTACAAGAACAACAAAAGTTGAACTGAAGGTAATTTAGGAAAGTTCTCTTTCTGTCGATAGAACAAATTGTTAAATTCATTTTCGACACATAATCGGAGCTAATAACTTTATGAGACATGCTTCTAATCATTGCAACTCACTTTCGTTTGATCTCTGGTTCAGCTGCAATTAGAGCCCGAAATAGCATCAGCTCACGCGGTGCAAAGTGCACGTTTAAACTTGCAAGTTCTTGCATTCACCGAAGCTCAATACGAGACAAGAGTGATAAAAAGTATTGCACGAGATGGGCATGAATATATGCCGACATATCTCCAAAATGACAGAAATATGAAGTGCGAGACGTGCCGCTGCGTCGCCCGCGGAGGCAGCACCACAACGCCACTGTGAGAGGAGTATTAAGCAACCGTGGCTGGTTGTGCGACTTGCTCAAGCATGCGAAATGAAATGAGCATGCTTCAGAACTCTTACCAAGAAACCTGCTCAGCAGGTGAGGAACAGTGTCTACAAAGCAAAAACAAGCAACATTTACAACAAAAAAACGGCTGCTGCACAACTTCGACGACGAAAGAACAATGGCACTTCGGTCTGCAAAACACTGGGTCAAGGTTCGAAAGAGTGAAGGGCTGTTTTCCCTCAAAAACAAATTCACTGGAAAAATATATGTATGTATTTTTTTTTTTTAACCACTGAACCATTGAACTGATACCGAGCATAAGAAATATACGCAGACTGAAAACTTGCCACTTACAAAGCCCAAAAAAACCTATGCATTACATTGTCAGTGGCTGCTTGAAACATTTTTTTTACGAGCCAGCATATGTATTTCCAATTTTAGTGAACAGCAAACTTAATACTATGCTAGGCTACTAGTAGTCAGATTTTGGCAAGAGAATGAAGCTATGAAAATGCAGCAGCCAAGCCAGCACGAGCAGCACAGAAGCCCAGCTATCAAAACCATGTCCCTATTTATCAAATACAAAAATCAAAATCACGGTGCTGCCCCCTTCCCTTTCCTTTCCCCCTCCCCCCCTCTACACCCACCAGCTGATTGGTTCTACAACGTTGTCTGGAGATGCTTTAAGCTTGCATTGCACAAAGCAATCGAGAGGGTTATCTGGTCGTCATGCAAAACGAACACAACAAAACTCGTGCTGCATAGCGCGGCAGTTTCAAATGGCTAGCAAGTCACGGCAAACATGCATCAGCCTTGCGAACATGCACACACAAATGAACACGCAACACTCAAACCACCTCTTAGAAAATCTTTAATTAAATTCTTTGGTGAATCTCTTTTCTTTACAATGAATGTGCAGAAAACTCAAAATGCCATTATTGGTTATAGAAAACAGAATCTCTTGTCAAAGCAAGCTGTACAATACACTGGGTGCTCGTTGGTGTCAGAAAATATGACAGAAAATTGTGCTTCTTAGGAAAAAAATAACATTAATTTTGACTCACAAAGCTAAGCAAAAAAAAAGGGCATACTGTCAGTAATGAAATGGCAAAACAGTAGCCAGGAACGATCGATTAAGCTGCAATTCTAGAAATTCAGTAATTTTTGCATCTCTGAGAGATTCTTGACAATTGCAGTAATAAAAAAAAAAATAGTTTGAGCTACCTATCGGATAAAAAAGTACAGTCTGACTAAATGCAAGCGCAAACCAGTTTTTCCTGTTTAGACTGACATGCCAGGATCATGACCTATGAACAAAGGTTCTTAGCTTGCTGGTTCCTCACAGAAGGCTCAAAGGTTATTAGATTGCTAGTTCCTCACAAGAGGCTACTAGGTGATCAACAAAGGTGCCCGCCAAACATGCACAAACAGCGTAACAGGCAGGCTACACCGACAAGGCACAAGCACCAGCCATGCCTAAGCAAAGAGACAAGGCAAAATAAGAACCAGAAGCAGCAAGTAACTGCAAAAGGTTAAAAGGTTAGTAAAAAAAAAAATAAAGAAAGAGAAAGGAAGTTCTGATAGTTGTTAAACTTCCACATCTGTCCTTTGCCTCGCTCTTCAAAAAACTTTAACACTTTCAAGATAAAAAAAAAAAAAAAGTGCAACACAATTTGAAATAAAGCGAGAATAATAATTCAAACAAGCTGCCATCAAATAAGGTCGCTATTATGCAAGAAACAGACCACATTACACCTAACAATATAATACAAGCACAAAAAAATAAAGTATTGCATTAGGAGAAAAAAAAAATTTAATAATTTTCATGCAGTAATAAAAAGGTGCCAGAGCAACCAGCAAGCATGCCTATTGTCCCCCAAAAAAATAAATGACAAAAAAAAAAAAAAAAAAAGAAACACCACTGCAGAGCATTGACACAAACAAATGCACGGAACACGGGCCACGAGAAACACTTCCGACGCCTCCAAATTGGTAGGACGCACATTCATGAAATAGCTGTCAAAACTTCCAACATTTAGCACCAAAAAAAAAAAGTCTGCATCAAGTTTTGGGAAGGAGCAAGGTGAGGTTAAGTGTCCTTCCACATCATAAAACACAAAACAAAAAGAAAAAAAAAAAAAAGAAAACACATTCCAGCAGATCTTTATCTGCGAAGCACAAGAGCAAAGGGGAAGCATGTCGTCACAGTCGAAGACAACGAAGCTAAAAACAGGACCAGCTCAGAGTTAGCATCCCTAGCCACCACTCGCAGGCAAAGTCTTGCCGCTTCGCCGCGCACCGCGATCGCTCCTGATCCGTTTTACGACTCGCCGCACGCGGGAGCAAGCGACGAACTGGGCAATGAGCAGACGGGGCAGAATGTGGAGGTTCGTCCAGATCAAGAGGATGAGGAGGATGAGAGAAAGGAGGAAGAGGAGGCCAAGGCAAAGAGAGCAGCGTCTTGCGGTGTTAGTGGTCTTCCGTCCGTCTCATTTCTTGGGGAACAAACCTGAGGCCTGGGCGAGGGCCGACTGGCTCGAGAAGGCGGCGGCCGCGGCAGCCGCTGCGGCTGCGGCAGCGGCCGCGGCGGCCGAGGAGGGGGCGGTGCCTTGGGCGCTGGCGGCGGCGTTGGCGGCCGAGGTGGCGGCGGCCTGCAGCGGTGGCGGCGGCGGGGCCGCCAGGGCAGTGCCCGGCTGTCCGGCCAGGCGCGACAGGATGCCCCGCTCGGACATCTGCAGGCGCTGGGCCACGGGCGGGATGCGCGCCAGCGTGGCGGGCAGCCGACTCACGTCCGACTTCATGTCGCTCAGCAGCTCCTCCAGCTGGTTCAGCACTGGGGGCAACAGAGGGGGGCAGACCCTCCTGTGAGCTTAAGGCAACGGAACACAGCTGGAGATCGGCGGCCAAACGTGTCGGCACACCGTGGCTGGGAGGATCCCAAGTTCAAGCCGCACCCCTGTTCGTTTCGATATGAATGAGCGTCTTATCAGCTTGCAGTTGTGTATCGCTACCAGAGTGTCAGAGCAAAAGTTTTATTGGTTTGGTTCAGGTTCAAGTTTTTCGGTTCAGTTCCGGGGAACAAAAATAATAGTTCGATCCAGTTTGAACCATTAAATTGATCATATATTTTTCACATTGTTTTGGCAATAGGCACTAGTTCAACCATGAAATCAGTAACTATATAGCTTTTTATCATTTGTACTATCCACTTTTATTTCGAAGTACCAAAAATAAGAAATTGCATTATTTAATTAGGACGAAACAGTAAACGAAAAGCTAGATCAACATACAAAATGCTGTGTTTATCTGACTCAACATCTATACGTTTACCTCACTCTATTTTACCTGAATTGAAATGTCATCAGTCTGGTAGGTCGCCTAAAATACCCGTGATTGGTACAACTTTCAGTCGCACTATTAAAAGCTGAATTCTAGTAGTGTTCTTGAACTCGGGAATTAATTACAGTGCATAATATCATGGAATGGGCATCTTCTCGCCGTATATATTGTGAAATCCAGTTTACGAAACATGTTTCACTATACATATGATGACGACGCGACTGAGCTGAAAGCATTATTGTTTTCAAAATGTCACAAAGGCTTTAGGACAAGCCCTTTCAGTCTAAATTTTGGGTAGAAACATTGAGTGGCAATCACAATGCTTGTTTTCCTGACCAGCATCGTTTACCCCCCAGTATAACCTTTCAGATAGTTAAAAGTTATACTGGGTTTTTCGGTACGGTTGGCAGTGCTGATTGTCATGAACCCAAGCACGTGACTCAGGCTCATGACAATCGAGTATGTCACAGTGTCACGTGACTTGCGGTGAAAAGTCGTGATGCCATGTGATGTCACGGTGTCAACAACGCTAATAAATAAAGTTACATTCTCAATTTAAGCCAACTTGATGCAGTGAATCACGTGACCACGTCACGGGGCCACGTCATGTGACATTACTCGACAACATGTCTTGACACCAAGATGTCACATCACCATGTGACACACAACTGATCATAGTGCCGAATCAAAAGTGCAACGAAAACCCACAATTTCTCATAAACTGCAATTTGGTATATGACAATTTGATCCCTACAGTCAAACCTACTCATAACGAATGTGATAGTTCCGCGAAAGGTGGTCGTTCTATCAGTAGTTTGCTATATCTGGACTTACCTTTAAAACACATTACAAATAAGGATTATGAAGCTGGTATTGGCAGTTTCACTATCCCAGCTCTTTATTTAAAGAAACTAGTGATCGCTGCTTGCTTTTGTAAAGTAGTGCGCTCGACTGTCTGTCCGAGGTTGTCCAGGTGGCACGCGTATTCCTCCGGAACTCCTCTTGCAAAAACTAGGTCCTTGACGGCCATGATGTACTCCGGAGCGAATGTTGCAAAGTATGCTCACTTTTGTGCCTATCTCAATTGCTTTCCGTTTCTTGGGCACGAAGCCTCCACTTTCAGACGATAGGAGTAGATTGTTTTTCTCCTCCGCTACGCTATGGTTATCTGTAAAGAAAACGCCGCAGCTGCGCATGCGCGCCACCAGCCTTGTCTCCATAATTCAAGGTCTTGTGGCGGATTACGGAGAGCTATCCACGTGCTTAGCGGGCTGCGGAAACGGTCCACTAAAACTTCCTATTGTGCCGACCGAGACGTACTGAAAACCAAAAGAAACTGCCACTGCAGCTGTTTCCAGTCGGCACCTTTGTTGAACGACGTTGCGCTATTTCCATGTCTCTTCCGATGGGAACTTGAGAGTTAACTCTTCGTAAACAAAAATGTTAACATGATGTCACTCCTTCGCATAAAAGTCAGCAAAGAGTGGGGCATAAGGGCTACTCAGAGGTGTCAGAGTTAGCTATGTAACGTCATTGAGTACATACAGAGTTTGCAAACATAGAACGAACAAATGCAGGAAGGGGTGAGAGTTAACATTCTCTTTCTTCTCATCTTCCCTTTACCGCGCACGCACAATCGGAGGACTATGCGACCTGGGAGGGCGTTTTTGCTTTTGTAGTTCTGTTTCTTCCCCGGGGAAATATGCCACGCAGCCGTGGAAATGACCTGAGCATCTCCCGCAGCACTTTCTATTTTCTTTTTTGCGCACGGGAGTTTTTTTTTTTTTTTTTCTGAAAGCGGGCTCTGAGTGTATGCTCTAACAGTATGATGCTTTGAAAAATGGTTGTTTTATCTGGATGCAATTTTAATAGGTGCGGCCTTGAATTCATATATTTTCTAAAAGCTGGTCGTTGCAACCGATGGGTCGTTATATGTGGGATCACTATAGTAACTGGGTTTGACTGTACATTGAAGTACAGCTGCCAATATTCGTTTCTCATACATTCATCTTGTAATACAAAGAGCAATTACCGTGAACCTTTTTGAACCAGTTACCGTCCTATTTTTCCCAGTTCAGTTCCGGTCCAGCTCCAAGATGGCGGCAAAGATATTGGTTCGCTTCAGTTCCGGTTCGGCAAAAAGTAATGGTTTGGTTCTGATTTTCGGTTCAGTTCCAATTCAACACTCTGATCGCTACTGCGTGATACGTGCTAAAGATCCCAGGCAAGCGGAGGTGCTGCACTGGCTAATTTTCTCATCAACAGCATAAACCGGAGTCACCACTTCAAAGACAGACCGGCCTTACACTGTCAAAACAAACATCTAATTCTCTTTCTTCGATAGTACACACCAGAGCCCAGACCAGCAGAACCCCATTTCGAGCCTACGACAATAGAAGCGGGGGCGGAAACCCTCCTTTCGTATTTACGACAAGGTATTGCAGCGCTGCTAATTGTGCTTACAAATTGTGGTGATTAATGCAGCGAGAGCACGTTGCCCCGTGCCACTTGTAATGTAGACTCACCAGATAATGTGCACCGCATCAGATTTAACTCTCCGCTTTAGCACCAATCCTCGTACCATCCTGTTGTCCTACCATACTAAATTCTCATAACCCTCGACCTGCAATAAACCCATGCAAAAATCCCAAAAGCCCGCGCACGCCACGCGACGAATAATGGGAGTACTCGGTATGCCCCTGTTATCGTCTTTCCTCCCGCTACCACGTGGCATACGCGAGCAGGCACAGGTTACATAGTAACAACGTTCCAGCACCCCAGAGCCGAGTCGTTCGGACAAACGACGAGAGCATGGAGGAGAGGGTCTGCCCCCTTTTTTTTTTATCTCTCTCCTTTGTACCACACAGTCTCTGTCCTCTGCTGCGCCAAAGCTTTGTCGAACCTAGTCGAACCCTGCCACGGTCGCGGTGCAAAATAAGTGGATTTTGTGAGACTGCAAGATGTGAAGGTAAGTTACGACCAATAATGCACTGTAAACAACTATATTTTTGCGAGGACCTAATTTTCGTGAATTTCGCAAATCGCCTACAATTCGCGGAAAATACAACCCGCCAACAATTCGGGCAATATGTGAACGCTGCAGAAGCTACACTCGATTCACAAAAATGAGAACCCGCGAATGGTTTCAAATTTTCAGCTTTGGCCTCATTCGCGAAAATCTGAGCCCGCAAAAATTAAGTCGTTTACAGTACAGTTGAACCTCGATGTAACGAAGTCGGTAAAATTCGCAATTTACTTCGTTACATTGAAATTTCGCTAAATCGAAATTTAGCTATAGCATGCGAAAAAAAAAAAAAAAATTCCGAAACATTTTACGGGTTTGAAAACTCACCGAAAATGACATTTATTTAGGGGCAAAGTAGTCCGCGAGCGCCCAGAGCGCTTGCACGGCATCTTGCTGCCCATGCGACGCCGTGTACCTCCTCAGTACGTCCATTGCGTCGAGCACTTCCCGAGTGCTCGTGATCTCGGCAGTTGCTTCAGGATGGCGTCCAAAACGTTTGCTTTCTCATCCAAAGAAATAACTTTACGTTTCCTTATGGCAGCAAGCACGTGAGTGAACCGCCCAGTTGAAAAATAGAGCTGTTTAGTTTAGGCGGTGCCAATGTTTCCAACCGACACAGCATTCTTGCCCGCACAGTTTACTTGCCCCTTTGCGCCCACAGTGTGCTTGCGCCTTTGCTTTACATCACGCTCGCAAGACGATAATCGGTCTTCTCGGTCTTCTCCTAGATGGCACTGCCCGTGCGATCGCGCGGTCGCGGTCGCACGTCGCTCCCCTGCTGAAGTTGGCTCCCGCGCTACACGCGGTACAGTGGACTATGATGATCAGTGAATGTCAGTGGTGATGCTGTAATGCCGTGTTAACTTTTTGCTCGGCATTTTCTGGCCAGCCTCGCGAAATCCGCTTTGCCGCATGCCTCGCCGGCGCTACCGGCGCCGCATCCTCGGGCAGCCTAGGAACGTTGGAAGGCCTGTCCCCGTGAAGTAACCTATCAAGTGCTCGCGTTTGCGCATAATTTTTTTTTTTTAACCACAATTTTTTTGCGAAGTTGTTTTTTAGAGTTGATTTATTTATTGCCTTCTATGGCAATGGCGCTTCGTTATATTGAAATAGCAGCAAAATAGACTTCGTTATATAGGGACTAAAAATACATGGGGTCTATGGGCAAGAAATTATGAAAAATAAAATACTTCGTTAAATCGAGGATTTCGTTACATTGAAGTTCGTTATATCGAGGTTCGACTGTATTCAAATTACCTTTAGCGATGCGTTTGCGCTGCCACAGCTATGGTACGCTGCCAACGACTTAAGACGTTCCGGCGGGATAGCGGATGGCTGCGATGGCTGCTGGCAATAGCTGCCGCAACGTGTAAGCAGTCAAGGAGGTGCAACGAGAAAGCATGCAATCTGTACCGAGGGTTCCCAAAATTTCCTTGCCGTCGTGGCACTCTACGTTTTGCAATAGGTCCGTTGGCGACGACACAGGATCGTCCAGCGTGTCACCCCCGAGTCACCAAAATATCACCTTCTTGTCTGTTTGCTATAAAGCACAGTAAAATCTCGTTATAACAAAGTTGAAGGAGCGGTCGTAATTATTTCGTTATAACCATTAGTTTGTTATAGCCAATGTCCATTTCTTCCCACTATTAGCAAGCAAGGGGAATTACGATTGCTTTGTTATATCCATTAGTTTGTTATATCCCATTTTGTTATAACGAGGTTGTACTGTATCAACTCGTGCAGGCACACTGAGATTTAAACGGAAATTAATTTTTGCGTCGTCAGATACTTGGCAAGTGACAAATTGCATCTAGGCACACACTTGAGCTAGCAAGACACACAAATCCTTTTGTGAGGAAGTATAACAGTAGCTGGACGCCACCAGTGTAGACCAATAAAGGTAGACGAAAAGCCAGCCGGTAATCGGCTGTGGTCCCGGGAGAGTATTGCAAAAGGACCGCAAAGCGAGCTGCAATACTAAAGAAAGCCTCACCCTTATGGAGGACAGCATTTGCCGGCTTGTTCCCTGCCAGGGACTCTTTCGACAAGTGCTGGTGCGATTCCGCAAGGCACTCGAGCTCCGCAAACCTGAAATTCCCAACAGTCTGTTTACTCCGAGAGCTTTGAAGGTCACAGTTCCGCTCCGAGACAGCTTATTTTCGTCACCATAATTACAAAAAAATTATTTCGTTAACTTGTACCATGAAACACGTTTACGACTTCAAATATAGCAAAATGATCACATTTACAGAATACAACACAGTTCACCGGAACAAGCACTCACACTTTTTTTTGCGTATTCACCACATTGCCTCAAAACCACCACCAGTAATGTAATCAATGTATGGCATTTGATGCTGACCTGCACATGCAAGCTGCAACAAAATGCTATCTTCGTATTCAGAATAACTGGGTTGTATGGTGCATATGACAGCCGATAACACTAACATGTTATCCTTGTTCCAATAAAAACCGAGGTGCATAAAGTTGACACACATTCGCTGCAAAGCAAACACTCGATAACATAGAAAAGAACATGCGTCTAAAGTAAACTGGCCCACTATACCTTAGGCTGCAAAAATTGAAAAGCCAAATGTGGTAAGATCGCAACTTAGTCAAAGCTCCTGTACATCAACGTCTCTAGATGCTACGAGCAGACGTTAGTACGGGGCAGAACACAAGTTCCGGACAATTCTGGTGCTTGAGGAGAAAGTGGATGACGCCCGCTTGCTTGTTGTTCCATTTTGCCTCACCTGGTGTTGAGCGCCATGGCCGGATGGTTTGGGTCCTGGGTGAGGTTTAGATAGGCTGCCCTGCGCAACTGCTCCTCAATCACCAGGGCCTGCTCCAGAAGCTGCAGGGACAGGACAGAGAGCACCCATCCTCTCAAGCCAATGCTGTTCCCTTACACAGACACAATTCTGGGCACTACACAGCCAATTCAGTCACTTCATTCGAATTCTGGTCAGTTGTACATTTGAGGGGCAATCGAAAAGTAACGAGAATGCCTACAGGGCACATCTGCAGCGACAAAAACAGGCAAAAATCACATTTTTCTTGTAGACAAACATATGAAAAAGGCACAGCATGGTCCGAATGTTTTCTTAATTTGAAATGCACTTAATTCGAGGTATATCACGGTTTCTGCGAGCTCTGAATCATCAAGATAAAAGAGCCAAGTAAGACTGAAACAAGCATACCACTAGACCTCTTGCAAAATTGATCCTGGTGGCGTAATGCCATGCTAAGCATTTTGGGATCCCATTGGCAGCCGTTTCAATTTTTATCTTCCAACCTCACTTTACGACATTCCGTCACGATCAAATACACAATCAAATTTAAACTCAAATATTTTATACTTCCAGTTAATTCAAACAAATTTTCAACTTTTGGTTGTCCCACTATGTTTTAATGTATTCGAAGCCACTTAATTCAAAGTGTGTTTTTGTGTAATTCATACTTTTTGTTTGCGTGGCCCTGTTAAATGTGCTTCTTTCTGAGCACCGGTGCACTGCAGAGAGGCAACACCCACGAAGCTTGCTTTCGTGGGCGTTGCTCCTGCACAGTGCACCGGCTCGGTAAAAAGCGTTCTCAACGGGGCTCAAACAGGGCACCACAAGTTATGAAAACAGGCACCACGCGGAAAATGTCCGCAGCAACTTGCATGGACGCTGTGGTGGGGCAGAACAACGTAGGTCCACATCACAGCATCCTCGCAAGTTGCTATGGAAACTGCTGTGCAGTGCCCGATTTATCGCTCATGGGTTTCCTGCTTACTAGTTCACATTAGAAACTTCTTGGCCCGATGAACAAACTTAGTTTTTGTTTTAAGTTGTGATGTGCTGTCTAAACTGCCCTCAATAAACACCATTTTGGGGAAATAAATAAACTTATGTCATACATTTCACAAATGTCTCGTGTGGCATACTTGCTCATGATTAGTAGGCCTATGTAGAAGACAGAACACGGAGGAGGAGAAAAGGACAGGTAGAACGAAAAAGTGCTGACTCGCAATTGATTTATTTTAAAGAGCAGAAGAAAGAAGCCTTAGGAATGGGCCCCACATGAGAGTTGATAAGAAAAGAAAAAAGAAAACAAAAATATAAACATGCTTGATTGATCTTGGCTAAGGAAAAGGAAGAAACCGTAAAGCATGCCCGTGAAACAAAAAAAGAGAAAAGAAAAGGAAAAGAATAGAAAGAAAAGAAAAATACAGAAAACGGCACTTTTTCACTTCCGGCAGACGAAATTCACTCGCCGTAGGCGTTAGCTAAGAATGTCACATTTTTGGCACTCAACGACAGAGAAGGATGGCTCACGCATTGCTGTCCTATTTTTTTAATATGATAAGCCTCGAATATCTCGCGGGCAGTCCGATCTCGAAATCTCCCAAGTACTATAGTTGTGTTACTAAAAGTCTGAGTGCACTGGCAGGTGAGACAGTGTATAGGCGGGCGTGCTGAAGCCACGGCACTCCTCTCCACGGCCAAAAAGGCCCCATAATGCAACGCGTGCAGTGCTGCGTGCAAGGATTTTTGGATGTAGGCTATTCAAAAATTGCTTCATAGTTACGTGCTGCACGAAATACATAGGCGAAACCACGCATCCTGTAATGGGCATGGTATTGAAAACCAATTCAGAACAAAAGCGAAACAGTGCTAACACAGACGAAGGGCACTAAAAACAACACCTTGTAAGTGCACTCAGTTCCTCATGCCCTTCGTCTGTTTTTGCCTGTTTCGCCTATTTAAGAAAGATATGTGTTACACACGATACCTACGAGAAAGAACGCCAATTCTTTACAGGCATGTTAGTACAAGAAACAAATTAGAAAAACACACTAGCATCAAAAGACAACACAGACAGAACTATCTTACAATGTTTGTTTTATATGTGTTGTCCCCCTATGCTGTCGTTTTCTAACATGTAAAAAAGTGGTGCGTAGAGTGACGCAAGGCATTTCTCTAGTTCCCACCTTGAACCTCCTGGCCAGGAACTTGTTCTTGATCTCGAGGAAGTTTCCCTTGCCCACGTCCATCTTGAAGGGCTCGTTGATGATGCAAAAGGCCGGGTCATTCTGGATGTCTTGCCACCGCCCATAGCCGTGCCTGGTACGCTCGGGGTCAAGGCGCAACCGTCGAGAGAGAGGCAGGTGGGGAACAAACAGACAAATAACCCAACACGGGGAAGACACTTTCTTTGTACATAGCACTAAACATAAAGTTGCAAATGGCAAGAGCACCCAGGGGGTAGCGCAAAGAATGATGCACCAGGAAAGGACAAATGTTTCTGCCAGAGTTCGTAATAAAGGCATTTGACCACAGCAAAGAAGCAGTATCTTGACCACACACTGATAGTATCTAACGTGTGCCAGTGCTTCTCGCACAAAAGTGCCCTAGCCTAAACAGAATCTTACCTATTCTTTTGGGTAAAGGTTGCGGTCGGAATGTCCTAAACCTGAGCTCACACCTTTGCTTCACCGTCCCACCGTTTTAACCTTTGTAACATAGCATGTTTATCCTGCCCTTACCCTGAAACCACACTATCCGAGGTATAACACGACGTTGCACAATTCCCTACATCTGCAGGATGACTGAAATGGGCAGATGTGCACACACAGGAGTGCCGACGGATTGTTTCTCGCAAGACCACCAAAACCTCCAGTAGGCGAAGTCGAGGGTTCGAACCCCGGGTGCTAGCTTCCCCGATGGGTATGCGAGTCATCGCTCGTAACCCCAGTCGCTTCGCGACGTAAAACCCCAAACATCCACCCTGAGACGGTGCGGGAAAGGATACTTGACAATGCCGGCAAGCAGCCAGTAGTCGTGGCGGCGATGCCAGATCTCGTACTCGCGGCCGGGCACGGCGGCGCGCTCCTCGTTTTGCCAGAGCGTGTGCAGCTCCGTGAAGCCGCCGTCCGCAATGTTGAACATGAACTTGCGCTTGGCCAGGGGCACAATGGGGCCGGGGGGCTTCTCCACCCCCTCCCCCTTCTCCCCTTCCTTCTTCTTGTCCTCCTCAACCCGGGCGGGGGACTCGGCCTTCTTGCCGTTCTCCGCCTCCGCCTCGGGCCGGGCGCCCTTGGCTTCCGAGAAAGACCCGGCATCCTCCGCGGGCTCTTTTTTCACCGTGACTGCGAGATGAACGGCGTCGAGACGTAAACCGGTTGCATTGCGGGTAGATTTGTACCTGGCCGTAGGCACCGACAGGGCGAGAATGGCAGGGCGAGAACGGCAGAGCGAAAGCCTGGCCTCCAGCATGCACTCGTTGCTCTACGCAGTGTCTTGGCTGCGCATGCGTGCTTGAGACTCGCAAAGCGCCAAAACATTATTGAAGGTAGGAAGTTCGCGCTGGAGGCAAAACGACCTGCCGCTCTCGTTCTGTCGGCGACAGTAACGGTGACACTATTCTCGTTTTCACCTCGAGAAAGAAAAATGGCTTTACGCAAAGCTTTACCAATTTCTCCCTCATGCAGCGAATTAAGATGCCCCTTCTGAACGAAATGAGCCGCAACACTTACTATGTGGCACCGTGACACATTTGCAGCCCCACAAGATGTGTTATATCTAGGCTCGTCAAAAAGAATGGACCTAAACTCTCGTTCTAGCCCCAACCTAAATCAAATGTTTTTCGTCAGACTCGCAGGTACGTAAAAAAATATGCGGAGGGCCAGTATAGCTCATATTGTTGGCGACGCAACTCCTATGTGCTTTTCAGACCAGTTATATTTGTCGGTTTATCGAAACACACAAAACTGCTTTTTTTTTTTCAGGTGACACAGAGTGTATGCATACTTTTGCCCGTGCATCGCATCTAAATGCAGAGGAGGTACAAGAGGCTCACGAGCTGCTTTGAGGAACCCAGCATTGCCGGTGCAGAACGTAGTGTTTGCTTCCACACATACTGTAGAAACACATTCAACAGTAAGTCGGTGTTTCATGGCATGCAAGTGCAAACAAAAGACCACAGCTTAGCCCTATGTTCTTCACTGCCAAACTATTCAAAAGTCTCTTCCCATCTTCTTCGCAAACACAAAAATTGGTGCAAATGGGGAACCGAATCAAGTCAAGTTACGTTGAGCATATCACACTGGCATGTTGGCTTAGGATCAGCACATATGCACTAAAAGACCGGCAAGATGCCTTTGTCGTCTTGTCGTGTCACCTACTCACCAGCCTCCTTGCTCTCCTTGGCCGTGGCTTCCCCCTCCTTGCTTTCCTTCTTGTCCACCTCTTCAGACGCGTCCTTCTTGTCCTTCTCCGAAGCAGACTTGCCCTCCGTGGGCTCGGAGGAATCTGGCTCTGCTTTCACGTCGGCCGACGAAGAAGCCTTCTCGTCCTTCTTCTCCCCCTCCTTTCCATTGTCCACTTCTTCCGAAGTTGTCGCCGAAGCAGCCTGCGCGTGCGGCGACGTGGGCCCGCCCCGAATTAAAAGGACAATCCCCTCTTCATTTGTTAGGAAACTGGCTGTTACCCCGTATCGCAGCTGGGACTGCTTTTAGATCGACACTCCAACAACCTACATCCACCGGTGTGACTAAATGTAATTTCTGAATTTGTTGGGAAAGAGGACCACAACAGGGCAAGCTTGCCCAAAGCAATGAGCATGGAGCAAGCAGACCCTCCATGTTGTTTCGGTTTCATTGTGCCAGCAGAGTGCATGCCCTACACAAGTCTCGGAGTTGATAAAAGCTCCTCCCTAGCTCTTCTTGATCCACTACTTCCCTTACAAGCAGATTCCTTAGTCTTTAGCAAGCCAGTCCTGTCACATACTGGGTCAACTGTGCTGTACTTGCTACAGTACCCGCTTCCGATTAGATGCCTCCAATAGTAGTCTAGTCGACACTCGGTAAATCAGTTGCCTTGTTCCGATTGTCAGTTATTTCAAAGCACGGCTGCAGTCCTGACAATCGTATGTAAGCCTATTGGGGAGGAGGACAGACCGTGACGCCCCAAGCGGTTAACCTAACAACTACACGGATGGGGACAACAAATACAATGACGCAGCGTTCGGCCGACATAACCGAACGTGGTGTCAGCGTTCGGCTGGAGTTCGTGCTCTCCGGCGAGGGGGAGGAGGGGCTGTTTTGTTTCCACTACGGCCTGCATGAATAATGCAGCATGCACGATTCCAGCTCAGCACAAAAGCCGAAGTGGGTCAAGCTCGCATTCTCTGAGGAGAGATCCGGCACTTAACGTCGCTTCGTCGATTGTTAGTATTTTTTACATTAAACTGCGCCCCGCGCTCTATTGTAGAAGATGACATGGCCATGCCCATAAGGCTTGTCGGCATGTGCACAGGCCTTGTGTTGAGTAAACACCGAGCGTGGGGAAAACAAACGGGTCAGAGCGCCCCCTATAGTTCGATCTCCTGCCCAATAAGAAAAACTGTATGACAATTCGAAGTTGAACTTCATAGTCAGGATAATTATAAAGATCTCTCGCGTGGTATACACGATTATGCTGATTATGCGATTATGCTGACCACAACTAAAAGATGACCATACACGCATCAACACTTTTCCCTCCCTTCCCTGCACCCCCCCCCCCCCCCCCCCCCTTTGGCAAATGAAAGGTTCCCAAATCTCGAAATTTACTTAGAAAATCGGAAGTCGACATGCTGAACGACTGCAATGCTAAACCCCGCGGCTGGGAGTGCAACTCCTGGGATGACAACCCTCACCTCAGAGTCCTCCTTGTCTTTGGGGGCCGCCTCCTTGTCCCTGGAGTCGCCCGGCGGCGTCTTCTTGCCGTCCTTGTCCTCGGAGCCGGCGGCCGCACCGTCCGCGTCCACCGCTCCCTCGGCAGTTGCCACCGCAGTCTTCTTCTTGTCCAGGCCCAGCTCCTCAGGCGAGATGCTGTAGCTGCCATTGATGTGCTCAAACTCTTGCACCTGCGAGAGACGGAAGGGCTCTCTGCAGCCTTTCGACTCGTTCCGGGCCTCGACGGCACCCCTATCGCATGGGGAGCCACCCTAGCCACCAACAAGACGAGAACAGCCTTTAGCGCGAGCCTGCTAACTTCAAAACCCTTCGGGACCTCGCGAGCCTCAACCGTGCTTGCCAACTGTCCCCACCTCCTCGGCGACCATAGGGTCTACAACCTTAAAAGGCTAGTTCGCACGCTTGAGTTTGAGTGTGTGTGGATCGGCGGTGTTGTGACCTTCGGCTCGACAGCCCTCGAAGCTTTGGCAGCCGGGAGTTAGGACGCCGAGACGATGGCGACACTTGCATTTGCTCGTGCTTTTACCGGAACTTCTCTGACCGACCACTGGGATTGCAACCTCTGACGGCGCAACACCTTGTAGCAATTCGGCCGCAGCATGCTAATGCAGGGGGGGGGGCTCGTGTTGCCGGTGTTGCTCCGTCGAGTAGGGAGAAATTGCTCCATCCAAAGTGGGCCCTACGTTTCGACGCAATTTCCGAGTAATTTGCCAAAATCTCTAGGTATCCACGCTTGCCAAGTTCCTGAATGCGGTGTCTTCCGTCCAGTCTGGTCGTACCGTACCCCTTAACTGCCTTTCTTGAGCGCGTCCCATCTCCTCCACGATTACTTAAAGCCTCAAGAGTTAGTTGTACGACCAGAAGCCTATCTTCCTCCAAGCTTCATTCTTCACACAGATGACTCCTAGCCCACGCCTCGTCCTAGGTACGCCTTGCACCTCCCCAATCACTCCTAAAGAAACATCTCTCGAACGGCGACATAATGTCAGAGCAGGCGGACGCACCTTCTTGCGGATGAGGCTCATCACCCCGATACGGGTGAGCACGTGCTGGCGGCTGAGCCCCTCGCGAGGCACCCCGTCCGCAAACGTCTCCGCATTGTCCACCCCGGGTTCGCAAAGGTGTCGCATGAACAACGACACGTACGCCTTGAAGTTCTTCTCAGACTTGCCACGCAGGTCTCTTACCAGCCTGCAAGCAGAGAGGGTACACATTCGGGCACATCACTTCCATCAAAACAAAGCATGGTCAATTGAGCGACAAAACAATGACACTCGACGAGGTAATGCTGAATTTTTCAACTTCGAAACATTCAACGCATCGTCTCTCAATGTCAAGTATGTGGCGTTCTTGACAATCCAGACCTACAATTATTTTGACCTGCAAATCCCCATTAAAGACACGCCTCTCGGTAATCTTCAATGAGACGAGATACTGCAAACATTCTTGCACAAATCATATACTATACCTGGAGAAGTTGCAAGAGTACAAGATAACAAAACATGGCCTCGCGGATACTTCCCCTTACCGTCCTTGTAGACCCAACTTGTGCCAGATCGAGAGCCGGTCATCATCCGGAAAACATCTTCGGGCAACAAGCATGCACACTAGAGTCCTAAAGTGAAACATGCGGCGGCCTCACTCACCATTGAGAGTTAAAAGCATCCTGAGGAGGCATGCCATATCTCATAATAGCGTTCAAGAAGGCCTTCCTCTGTCGGGCGTTAAATCCGAGAACCTGAAAAAAGGAAATGTGTGCTCCCGTTCAGACAGCTTCCGAACTGCTGAAACCCCAGTCTTGGATGTGCGGCCACAACACCTCCTGCACATCCAAGACTTGGAGTTTAACTTTTCCAAAGTTCAGAACCTGCAGCAACTAGCTGGTCATGCCTTACACTGATTACCACTATGGTGCAGAGTGACTCGACGCACCACCACCACAGTAGTCAGCATAATACTGTGCTCATTCATACCACAAAATCACATCCAGTCACAATACCCCACTGAAAAAGGTACCATCTCATTCTGCAATCTTCACAGAGCAAGAGTTTCGAGGGCGGACCACTGAAAACTATTTCAAGCATTTTTGCCATTTTCTGAATTTTAAAATCGACTAGATTTTGACATTGTGGTTAGGTTCGACATCTCTTCAGCTGTTTGAATGTTCTTGGGTGCACGTCAGTTTCAAAAAGCGCAAAACAAACAAACCCCCCCCCCCCCCCCCCCCCGGCATCAGACACAGTTGCTTGTTTCCATCAGCCAACACGACGACAAGGAAAAAAAATGTTCCAGGCTTCCTTTAGAACTTGCGGGATTGCTTTGCCCGAGTCCCCAAATGGCCTGGGCCGCTTCTCCCCCCCTTTGCCGAAGCAAAGAGGGAGGAAGCAACAAGATTGTTTCGTCCACGCTGATTAAACGTCGCCCACACCACTCGGCAGGCGTCGTCGACTGGCAAGGTCTTTCACTCGACAGCAGTGGACATTCCTGTACGTTGGTCAGATGAGTAAGGCGTCATCACTTGCCCTCCCCAACCCCGCCTTGACATCAATCCTGTCACAACCTTGATCCAAAAAAATCATCGGAAATCCGCAATGCAGTTGAACTTCCACTTACTGTCAGGTTCAAATAAAATATACTTAGAGAAGCAAAACCAGATCAAACATTAAGCATGTATACATTGTGTCTTCACTTGCCTCACAACAACTTACAAGCCAACTGCCTGCTCTGTAACCCTAGTTGGTTGCCAAGAGCTCTAGCCTTCGCCCTTTGTCAGGTTTAAGGGGGAACACTGGTCTTGGAGCTTTTTTTCTTATTTTATAACCAAACTCATTGAAACTGCACAAGCTTGTTCAGCTGTTTTTGCTGATTTCATATATCTGATAATTTCTTCATTCAGTAGAATTGTCCTGAAGATAATTAAAACTTGCCGGCCTTTGTTTGGAGGAATGATAGGGAAATAACTGCTCAACAAAATATCCCTTTAAACACATGGTCATATACTATGAAGTGTAAAGAATACAATGTTGGAAGTACTTTTAAGATAAACTCATTATTACTGATTTTACAACATATTGAAGTTCAGTGCTCAATGCATGGCTAACAAGTAATAAAACAAAAGATCAAATAAAAATTTTTCTAGACTTATAATAAAAAATCTGCTCTCAACATTGTATGCTTCACACATTTAGCAACCCATTTCAAGAAAGGTTATATTTCTGACAGCTGTAGATGCTGAGATATCCCTCCTGCAAATTTTCAACGAGTCTCAAAATTGTGTTATGTGAAAACAATGTTTTAGAGTCAACTTTAATGCACATTCAGCCTGCATAGACATTATAAATTAATTTATAGCTTAAATATTCATCCACGAAACTAGACGCTTGGTAGATTCAGAAGAACAACAGCCATCGCCGTTTTCAAAAGCATGCGGTTTTAGGAAGTTTTGGCTCCAAAGACCCATGTCCCCCCTTAAGCATGAATAGTCAATGAGGTCTGTGTGTTGTTTTGTCCCCAGCATGAGCTCCTTACCTATGATAAGGCTTTGCATCTCAAAAAAAGTTTCGAGCGTGCATATGCAGAAAATGCAGAGCGAGCGCGCCTCGGAGACTAGGCGTCCGAAAGAAACACCCTGCTGCTCCCATCCTGTCGGCAATCCCAGCCAGGTGCAGGAGTGGGGTTAAACCCGGGCCGTACGACAACCGAATCGGAACAAGCAGCGGGCGAGAGCCCGTCCAACAAATGATGGTGTACCCACCTCGATATTTCCGCCCACTCGCGCCAGCAACGGCGGCAGTGGCCTGTCCTTCTCGCTGCCACCCCTGCTTTTGCGATTGCGAGACTTCTCTCCCATGGCCCCTGAAAGAGACAGGAGGAAGAGGGGGGACGCGCCCCGCACCACGACGGTGCACGGTTAGGAAGTGCGCAGAAAGGATGAGTCCCTTCCCCGTTGCGCCGGAAGAACCAGAAGAGCCGAGAGAAGATCCCAGATGGAAGAGGAGGTCGCCGCGCGAGATGTTGCAGCCAGTTACAGACTAAGAACCCAACAGATGCTCCGCCTCAAGAACGAGCTTTCCATCTTGTGCAGACCCAAAGACCGGCGACTACTGGGCTCTTAACCTGTCACCGACTACGTATGCTGCATCTCTGTCCAACTGAAGATAGCTACCCGTGCAGTAGAGTCGTTCTTGGAGACTACAAGCCCACGCTCGCAAGTCCCCCCAGTTGGACAGAGAAGCAAGCAGGTCACTGTGCAGGAGCGTAGTCTAACGTATGTGCCAACGATAATAGTGGAATTGGTGAGGAGTTTCGGGATGCAGGAACGTGGTGAGAGACCCTCGTACGTCGCATACTTTCGTGACCAGATGCTTTACCCGGAGACGACTTTCTGTGGCATTTCGAAAGCCAACGGTGCACGTGCCCAGCTTTGATCAGTGTTCGAGGTGCACATGCACGCACATAGCTTCAACTTCACAGCCACAAAATGTTGCCCCCAAGTGAACCACGTCCACTCCCGCAGTTCAATGCACACTGGCAACCGAATGTGTGTAATGCTAAGATCCGACACCTCTGGAGAAAGGCTGACAAAAATCTTCGTCCGCATTCCTCTCACCCCAAGGAAAGTTGCACCGAAACAAAAGAAAAAGAGGAAAAAGAGAGAGACAGAAAAAGAGGGGCCACAAAGAGGGGTCCGGGCGTCCCCACTGCTCACCGTCGTTCTTCTCCTCGAAGTCGTCATCATCTTCTTTGTCATCTGTCGAAAATGAGAATCAGGGTTCAAAAGAACGGGTAATGCGCACCACGTGGAGGCGGTGGCATGTGCAGAGGATGCACATGTTCAGCTGAGAGAAGGAGTGGGCATCCCTCACCGTGCAAGCAGCTAAACCCTCCCTTCCTTCATTCCATTTTATGCTTTGATGCCTCACTCCCCCAGAGTGCCAGTTTTTTTTTTGCCCTCCTCTGCAAATGCCACCAGCTACTTGCGAGTGCGTGACACATTGCAACAAAAAGCAAGCTCGAACCAGCTCCACTAAACTCAAAATTCTTCCAAACATCACCTTGACAAAAGCAGTATCTTACGGAATACCTGCAGAAATAAACATGAAACATAGAAAAGTCTGTATGTTAAACACATGACAGTGTAAACAGGCAGTAGAAACACTAAGTGGAAATATTGTAAATGAAACTTTCTCAATAAACAAAGCATAGCAAGATGTCTATTTAGTTTCCCATGTTACCAAAGTAAGCCTATGCTGTGGTGAACTGGCTGTGATAGTTTCTTGGAATTACTTTACTGTGGTTACGAAGTGTTGCATCCGGAAATATTTTGCGGGCACAAAACTTTTTCTGATTGGGAGTTGTAGGCTATTAAATTGTTACCATGGGGTCGAATATATGTGTGATCAAGTTTTTGAAATATTTTTCAGGCTGCCAAGTCCGCAAAAATTAGGTCCTCAACAGTGGCATAGCATTGGGGGTGGGTGGGGGAAGGGGCCTGGGCCCCGGGTGCCGGATGGCCTAGCTATGCCACTGGTCCTCGTGAAAATTATGTTGTTTACAGTGTACGGTGGAATACTTAAACTTCTTTTTAGAAAAATGTGTATATGAGCAAATGTGATCATACATAGAAAAGCCACGCTCCTAATGCAACGTCCTAGAGGAGCCACGAGAGCCGTCAGCCACAGGAAGCAGGCACCATGCACTCTGCAATGTCTCCAGGCAGATGGCAAAACCAACACGGAGAAATCAAGCTTATCGTGCTAGAAGGAAGACGTCAAATCATGTAATGGAGGTGGACAAGCACCCAAACCCTCGTCTTTTTGCCCCTTCTTAGCAAGAGCTTGATTCCCTTCCTCTTGATTGCAGGGCATGCTTTGTCCACCTCCCTTCAATCTCCTTTTTCCTTTCTTCATTACCCTTGACAGTTCCAGAGGAGGACCCACAAAGAAAATCTTCCTCACATAAAACCGAGGCTGCACACTGCAGGGCTTAATCGGCACGAACGCAACATTTACTTTTTTACATTTGGCTCAAGGACTGCATTGATGTATAGTTCTTCCTCGTTATAACGAAATCAATTTTTTTGAATTATCCCTCTTATCGCAGTTCAACGTGGTCCCGACCGAAATGCACAGATTTTTAACTGAATTATTCGAGGCGTATTGGCAGGCGACCACGCATATTACGAAGGCCGCGGTGCCGAAAGCATGCAAGCATACACGGGGGAACACGGAGACCCTTGCGTTCCCTCCCCCATCTCCACCAAGGCAAACGGTAAACCAGGAAAACGGCAAACAAGAAAACGAAGTAAACGGATGATGCATGGCAAAGCGTGCAGAGCGCTGCTCCTGAGGCACCGACGCAAGGACACGCGTAGGCAGCAGCGGCGCAGCGTCCACATTCCGGCGCTACTCACGGCATTTGCGGCCGACGCCGCCCGACTCCTAGTCGGAATCGCGTCAAGGGAGCGATGGAGCCGGAGGTGATCACCCCTTCAAGAGCCCCCCGAGACGTGCGCCTGCAGAGTACTACACTCAAACGTGCGTCGTATGGGAGATTGAGAGTGTTTACCGAAAGTCACTTAGATCTGCAAGGTTAAGTAAGTGGCCAGCCCAAGTCCAAAGGTGCCTAAGAATTCGACATTCCGGCAATGACTGTTCGACACTGTCCACCATATCGCAGAACAAGCAAGGTTTTGGATGGGTTCGAGAAGTTTCTCATCCAAGAGAAAGTGCGCCGCGACCCGAAAATGAACGATGGTCAACTGCTTTGCGATTGTCGGATTTTTCCTTGCGAGAATGCTTGCCGAGCCGGTGCACGATTTCCAGAGCCCCAACGATCTCAACAAAAGTGTGTAAAAACACGTTGGCAAAGCCACTGAGGATAACTTTGTTTAATTCGCGCTTGTCGATCGATGCGGACGTTCCCGTTGTTGCTCCTGCCACGGATGCTGCGATCGTAAACCTTGCTTGCGGCCAGGGTAAACACGAAGCAACGTCGAAGAGGCACCTCGGGAAACGCCGACAACTGCGAAGACGCAAAACATCCTACGGCTGCTTCGAAACGAAGTCGAGCGCAGCAGCGGGTGACTGTGTTCTTGCGATGCCTGGATCAGTTCGAGGAGAACTGATGCCAAAATGAGATTATTGGCAAACTCCACTTAATTATTTTTTTACACGGTAAAGCTGCCGTGAGATGTTCATAACTAAGATTTGTTTGATCAAACCTTAGTTATACGGTCAGAGTGTACCATACTGCTCCTGTCCACCTTCAAAGCTACTGGCAGTTTTTTGTCTCTGTCGCTTTTATCGTATTGCCACTTATATTGAATTGTTTTGCCGTCTCAATGATTTCGTTATAACGAGGGATTACTGTATGTAAACTCATACCGTCCAAGTTAAAGCCCAGGATAAAGTAGAGGCTCTCAACGAGCCTCTACTTTATAAAGAGTGCTAGAGTTGCACACGTGACGCCAAACTTTTAACGCAGCGAAGAGCCAAAAGAAGTGCAAAAACACAAGAAAGGCAAAAGGCTAACTCCTCGAACGAGCCGGACCAACCGCGAGGAAACGTTGCAGAGTCCGCGCACAAGGGCAGGAGGGGGTACAGAGAGCAAACAAAGACGTTTCAACACACCCGAGGGCACAGAGAAGTCTGAGTTGTAGTCGGAGAGGTTGTCCTGCCAGGTGGCGTCGTCCTGGGGCCCCATGGCGTCCGTGTAGTTGACTTGCTTGCGTACCCGCTTCCCCTTGCCCAGGGACCGGGCCATGTCCTCCTGCTGTTGCTCGTAGTGGTGCCGCAGCAGCTTCTCCCAGTAGGCCGGGTCCGCAGATTCCACCTCCTGCTTCAGGATCTCAGTCTCGGGCTCTTCCTCCTCGGCCTCCTTCGTCACGTATGCCGCAACCTGCGTTCATCCGCACATACCGTCCTCGGGTTAGCAGTGCCACTCGGTTTCGTGTTTGGGGGAACCACGAAACGTGTGGGTCAACTGTGTTTGGGCGATACCACCTAAAATACAAGGCCTGCCCCCTTCCACACCCGGGGAGTTTGCTTGCTTGGTGAGAAGTGCACTCAATGGGGCTCGAGCAGGACTCATTAGTTACGAAAACACGGGCACCACGTGGAAATTCCCAAATCAACTTGCGCGAACACTGTAACGTGACAGCATAGGATAGGTCCATGTCACAGCATCCTGCACAGTTGCTATAAAAAATGCCGCACGGTGGCAGTTTTCATTGCTCATGAGTCCCCTGCTTAAAGGGGCCCTCCGGAGCTTTCTGCAACCGTCTGTTTATGTTGTTATATTGCGTAGTAGGTGCAAGTTAATATGTATACAAAGTTTTAGATTACAAAACCATTTATTGAGCAGATGGCAGAAGAAATATATCGGGACTATTTTCTCTTGGAAGACAATCCCCCATTCCCTGCCCATCGCTATAACTTGACCAATGGAAATGCTGCATCACGCGGTGAATGCGAACGTTATTAATGAAACACTTTTTAAGCTGGTTGTAAATTCGAGTGTGAGAAAAACGTAAACTGATTGTGGTGCGGGAAACATAGTTTGCAATTATCGTTCCAAAGCCAGCGAACTATGTTTTCTCCCCGCAAGCTTGTTGCTAGGGGGTGATGCGCCGGCGCGTCGGCTCGTTTGCTTCCCGGGGCGTCAGTAGGCATGCGTTTGCGGGACACGTGTTCCTTCTTCCCGTGGATCCAGACTCCGAAGCCAGCTTTGCAATCCTTCCACATCAACAAGTCAAACTTTTCCTTGTCATCTGTGGAATGAGACTGTGTATTGCAGTAGCAGCGCGACGGTGCGGTGCGACGAACGACGACTGCCGAGCACAAAGTCCGGGCTCCTTGACGACGGTCCGCGCGTGTTCGAGAGATTCCTCCGCGGGTCGGCGGTTGGCCGCGTTGATGACGCGCAGTGACGATGGAATCCTTCGCTTGCTTTTGGCTGACGCATAAAGAGATGCCCCTCCCGTTTTTCGGGGTCATCTCAGAAAGGGGGGCGTGCCGGGAACTTTGATAGCAATTTAAATAGGGAAATCCGCCACGCATGACCGTAATTTTTTGATCTTTAGGATCCTTAGGGCCCGTAGATTGAGTTACCGCCATAAATAGACCATCGCAGAGCGCTCCGGAGGGCCCCTTTAATACTAGTTCCAATTAGACAACTTCTCGGCCTGATCAACAAACTTAATTTTGTTTTGAGTTGTCATGTGCTGTCCAAACAGGCCACGATAAACAACGATCTTCAGGGATAAAGTAACTTACGTAATACACTTCACAAATGTTTCATGTCTGTTATTGATCAGTACGTCTATGCAGAGGAAATCATCAAATATGTGCTTTGTGTGTGAAGCCGTCATTCATATGGCAAGTAACAATTTTATCTTGCTTTACAGTATTTTAGATTTCTGATAATTCCAGCTTCCGATAATTGAAATGAAATTTGTGGCTTCCTGCAGTCTGAAATAATGAGTCTACTGTAGTATGCGCAGTACAGCTTACAAGGTCTGTACGCTTTTGTTCCAATTTACTGCATCAGTGCCGCGACCGAGAGGGGTTCCTAAGCCGCCCAATAGAGATCGGAAAGTTTCTCATTTAATCGACCGCCCGCGGACTGTCCCTCAATAAGCGTGGCTATGTTGCCAGGAATGCGTCTACGGCTGACTGTCCCATTTCGCCCATAAATCCGAAGAGGTCCAAAGTGTCAACAGATGGCGTCGCGGGAGCCTGCACGTTGTGCTGCCGTGATTCTGGCGGTCGGTCGTAGAAGCGCAGGCAAAAAGGGCAAGCGTAGATGCGAAGGTTTCCGTCGTCGTGGTGTCCCGTCTTGCGTGCGCTTCTATTCCCGTCGACAGTTTGGCCACGGAGCGACCCGGAGCAAACGGACGTCTGCCACCTCTACCTTAGCCGCCGCGCCGTCGCCGACCGCGGCGGGCGAAAGCGTGACACTTTTTTGTCATCGAGCACAAATCGAGGGACAACTTTAGAAAATGTGGTAAACGCACCCGTATGGGCGCCACAGCAGGTCGGCGCGTCATAGCCTTAGATGCTTTTGCGCCATAAAAACTCAATCCACCGCCCACACCGTGGCGCTCCCAAAAGAAAGGGCAAGCCCACCTTGAAGGAGCCGAGGTACTCGTTGGCCCAGAGCTCCTTCTGTTCGATGCCTTCCTTGGTGCGGTCGAGCAGTTCCCCGATGGCCTTGTCGTCGTAGTGGATTGTGTCTTCCTTGCCTTCGTCGTCTTTGAAGAGCTCCTCTGTGCCGAAGCGCAGGATGTCGTCCAGCTCCTGTTTGGACATGGTGTTGGAGCGGCTGCCCATGCCCGGCCGCACCACGAGGTGCGTCAGCATCATCTTCTTCTTGGCCACCTGGGTGATGCGCTCCTCGACCGAGGCGCGCGTCACAAACCGGTAGATCATCACTTTGTTCGCCTGCCCAATGCGGTGGGCACGGCTGAACGCTTGGATGTCGTTGTGCGGATTCCAGTCCGAGTCGTAGATGATTACTGTGTCTGCTGTAGCCAGGTTGATGCCCAGACCGCCCGCCCTCGTCGAGAGGAGGAAGCAGAACTGGGGAGCATTGGGTGCTGCGACGGGAAATAAAGTAACAATGAGACGCCATTGCGCTTACGCTCCGTTTTGCCTCGCGACGGACCGCGGCAGACGTTACCAAGCCATTCTGACCGACCCGGTGCTTTGAAGATATTGTGTAACTACGCTACCCACGTGTCACTGCGCCCCTCCTGAAGCTCATGTGACACTCGTTTGGCAGTGAATTTGTTCCTACGGCGCGTACGCGAGTTCGGCACAAGGTGAAATGGAGTCCAAAAGTCAGTCTGGTACATGTCACTCGAAAAAAGTAATCTGTCCCAATTACAATTAATCCCACTTAAAACATGTTCAATTCGACTATGTGATTACTCTACAAGAAAAAGAATCAGACATTACTTGAAAACACAACCGTTACTTCTCCCGATTACTTCAGGTTTTAAAAATGACACCGTTTTCTGCCTGTTAGGAAACGGGTCTTTCGTACTGCCCATCATTGGATTAGAGTCGCCAAATAATGAAGAACTTATCTTCTTAACACACCAATTTTGGTAAACCACCCCCCGTCAGAGATTTGGTTCGAGGATTCCTTGGTTGGAAACTCGTGTAAACAAGGGGCACCATTAGAAACGGGAGGGAAAAAAGTGACGGTTCATTTCTAATTGTTCCAATGTGTAAAGAACATGGAGATTGGCCTTGATGTGAGAAAAGATATAGTAGCTAAATTGTGTGTGAACCTACGATGATAACGTACAGTCGCAATCCATATAAGTGTGCGCAAGCGGTCGTCGACCACTATGTAGCAGTGACCCCACCGCCAAACGGCGGCCATGGCAGCACACGTGCTTTGCAAACCAACCAGGCGCGATGCTGCTAGTGTGGAGAAGTCAATCGCATGTCCCCTTTCACATTGATTGTGACCGTACATCGGTCCTCTCTGACCGCCGTTTGCATTTAAATGCCAGACCCAAATTGTATCTGCAGTTCAATTCAAGTGCTGGCTCCTGCAGTCGCATCGATAAAAAACACGAACTGCGGCCCTGTCGTGGCAATGGAATGGCAAAATAAAATATTAAGCAGCATCGTCAGTCTCTCGGGAATCAGCGTCGAAAAGCCAGTGAACCTGCAGCCCCATCTTTCATGACGAATTTGCAATTTAAGAACTGCTATATATACGACATCAGAAAAGAATTGGCTTCAAAGATGAGGCCGAAAGCAATGCGAAAACTCAATTCACCCGAACGCAGAACCTCACCATTAAAACGGTCTATGGCTTCTTGCCGTTGACTGCCAGTGATCCCACCATCAATGCGTTCATACTTGTAGCCCTCTGCCTCCAGGAAATCTTCCATGATGTCCAACATCTTGGTCATCTGGAGAGCAACAGGCAAGGAAGTATGCATCAGTTCATGTGCACACACACAAACATCTAGAGGGTCTGCACCAAGCTGGATATTAAACTACAAGGTCATTTGTAATGAATGCATTTCACATTACCTAGTTTTCTCAATACAATAATAACACTCGATAACAACATTGGAAAGTTATTGGTATGAATCAGAATTCAGTTGTAAGAGATTGTATCAAGGCCGATTTTGCTGGCAGTACATAGAAGCATTAACCCATGGGACGCCAATGTTCCCAACTTGACCGCAAGAAAGAAAAAAAAAATGTGAGACTAAATTTTATTAGGTTGTTTTGTCAAAGTAAAGAGTGATAATGACTGGTGTTTTAGAAAATGCAAAGGCTACCATGGTAATATTGCTGTGTGCGTGGCAGAGTTGGCAACGCAAGCGGCTGCCACGCAGAGGAACAGTTATTTTCTCAAACATTATTTTTCTGGAAAGTTTCAGCCCATTTCCGGCTGTCATCGTGCGTTGTTTCAGAACGTTCCCAAACGCACGAAGTGTACAAGAGCACAAGAAGACGCTGCTTTGGGACAGTCCCCCTTTTGCCACCATCACAAGATAGATGCTGGTACCTTTCTCATCAAGTCTGTAGGCCCAGGTTCGCCTTCCTTGACGTTTGTTCTTAGTTCCTTGACGTTTGTTCTTAGTTTCTACACGAGCCTACGTTTTGATCCTCGACAGTATGGCACCAGAAACGAGGGGCAAAGAGAGGAGAGACGCCAGGGAATCTCGGGGAACTCACCTGTGAAAAAATGAGAACCCGGTGGCCAGTCTCTTTGAGCGTGCGCAGCATCTTGTGCAGCAAGATGAGCTTGCCGCAAGCCTTGGTCAATGCCGAGCCCTCGTAGGCGCCATTGGGCATCCGCGGTGCCTCCTGCATCACACACGCAGACGGTGAGCACCGGCCACTGCCAAGTGTGCTCGCACAAACTCTAATCAGAGTAAAAGAAGCAAAAACGAAGGTGCCCATCTGTCGTGCATGCACCTTGCTTCTTCCCGTCTGTTCTAAATGTCTTCATAATGGCTGACTGTAGTCTAACCCATTCAAATTTTGTTAGGTCTGCAATTGTTTCGATTCATCCCTGAACCACCCAAAACCCCATTTTAAATTTCGAAAAATAGATATATATATTTTTTTAGTTGTTTAGCTTTCTTTTTAGCTCAGTGTTTCTTGTTTGTTTGTTTTTTTTAAGTCATAAAAGGTAGAGCATTTTACAAATTGTGTCGCATGCATTTGTGAAATTTGAACAAACAGGACGGACGAACAAGGTTTTGACGTTGATGGTGACGCCAGGGCAAGTACAAGAGAAAACACATAGTTCTTCCTAGTCTCTTAAACATTGAGATGCTCCTGGTTTGGATTTAGGGCAGCTAGCATAGTCATGAGCAGGTGAAGAGCAGAGTTGGACAGTTTCCCAAGCTTTTACAGACTGAAATTTGGTCCAACTCTCATTTTCTGTTAATTAGGTCTTTGCGGGTACATAGATTGGCTAAGCCAATCCATGTACAGCCAACATCAAATCTAAAATAGCGGCTTCTCGGTGGTGTTTCCCTCAAATCACTCGAGATGATTTTGCCTAAAAAATCAAACTTTCGGTCTTCAAGCTGTCCGAAACATTTGTTGTGAATATGCAGTATTGTCAGGTAGGTCACAGTTCCTCCTTTAGGTCTGAAATATTGAACGAGTCTGAATTATTAGCGTCCGAAAAATTGGTCGGCGACTGTATATGATGGAGACAGTACAAAACGTCCTATACGTAGCTTTCCGACTTATCCCTGCTCCAATTCGTCGAGATTGATAAGCATCTTCGTATTTCTCTAATTCTAGATAAGAACAGCCACCGAAGGCATCACCTGTGAGGCAGCCGGGAAGAGGTAGGGGTGGTTGCAGCACTTCTTGAGGTCCATCATGATGTTGAGGAGGGACACGGAGTGGCTGCCCCCCTTGGCGTTGAGGGCCTCGTAGTTGCGCGTCAGGATGTACTTGTAGTACTTCCTGCACAGGGAGAGGGAGGGCCATGCTCAATCAAAGGATTGACGAGAGAAAAACGTCGCAGACGGGATTCTTCGACCGCAAGGTCGACCTCACGAGGGCGGGGCAACCCCTCAAGTGCAAAGAGTGACGTCGGAACAGGCAAACTCACTTTTGGAGTGGTGTCAGGTCCACACGGATGATAAACTCGCTCTTCGAGGGCATTCCCTGACGGGAGAATGAAAGGAGAAAGGAAGTTATAATGTGCCTCGTTTGAGTGTCGCAGCAAGATTGCTTGGTAAAGGAATGAATGCAGAGACATAAGGAGTTGTGTAAAGCCATTGCCCGTGTCTCTGTACAGGAAGAAACAATCCGTTTTTTATCTTAAGATTTCATCAGGTACACACGAGCCCAAAGCCGACTTCAGAGGTCAAGGCCGAGGCGCTAAACGAAGCTTGGCTACAAAGCTCAATCTAAATGCACATTTACACGTGCAAAGGCAATTTTCATTGGCACATTGGCAACCATAGCAGTTCACTGCTGCTGAATGCATGCCAACAAAAAGCTCGTTTAACGTTAACACAATGTGAATCGCACACTACTGAGGTCGTAATTTTGGCAGTTGACAAGCAGGGGCTCGTAAGTAATGTGCTTGAACGTAGCGTCCAGAAAGCTAGTATGCTAGTTTACCCAAGAACTCTCCCTAGCTCCGATCTCTATTTGCGGCATGCATCATGTGACACACTGCCACCGTGACGCCCAACAAAGAGTTTGTGGGGAAGCGTGCATACCTTCAGCACATCTGCTTTCAGCCGCCGCAAAAGGTGGCATCCCAGCAAATCGTGAAGCTTCTTCACCTGCTCCTCCTTGGCCAGGTCAGCAAACTCGTTCAAGAAGCCTTGAAGGTCACTGCAAAAACGCGAGATCATCAGAACTCTTCTCGTGCCAACCCAACGCTACATTCCCATCTCCAGAGTTATGTGCAGTGTAGTGGGAGGCACAGGCATGAGTGCATGGCTTCAGAATGTGCTTTCGTCGCAAGAGTTTTTGCGCTGCGACGCCAGCGCCTTTTGTAGCACTGTGCACAACTCGCGAGGTGGGAGTATAGATGGCACTAACAACGAAGTGTATACGAAACTCACTTGAAGTTTTGTGGACTGAGAAAGTTCAAAAGGTGGAACAACTCCTCTAGATTGTTCTGCAAGGGTGTTCCTGTGAGCAGCAGCTTATAGTTGATCTTGTAGTTGTTCAGGACTTTGAAGAACTGCAACGTACCATACAGGGAAAGTGGACAATGTAAGAGACACAATATTTGCTTCATAGGTATACAGTGCTTTGAAACTGTAAACACTTCTGTGGGATTGCTTCACACATATAACTGGGATAGCACATCCTACTCACTAATGTTTCCCATACACTGTCCATGATTCGAACATCCTACTGAATTATATATTAAAAAATTCTTCAGAATCGTCCTTTGCAACTCTATGGTTCTTGTAACTCTTGTTGGTACTTTTTTTATGTTTCAGTTTGTTCAAAAAGACAAAAAGATATGCCTATATGCAAACAAGCCCAGAACCCCAAAGTCATGAAAGCAGTCTCGCAAGAATATGCAGCAACAATGTTTCGTTTTAACTAGAAAACATAAAAGTGTTATTTCAACAATGTTCACACTCTATCAATGGCCTCACTTCTAGCCTAACATAACCACTTCGAAGTACGGTATGAAGTGCACATGAGCAGGCCCATAATACAGGGCTTGTTCCATCACCAGCTACGGAAAGGCGGCACCGCCAACTCGAAGTCTGCACAGGTAGATAGAGATAAAGACAGACGGGAGAAAAGGAGGCTGCCGACCTTGGACTGGTTGTTCTTGAGCCGGTGGGCCTCGTCCACAACCAGCACCTGCCAGTCCACCGAGCCCAAGATGGTGGCGTCGATGCACACCAGCTCGTATGAAGTCAGCAGCACGTGAAACTTCACCGAAGCGTCTTTCTGCACGGCAGCGCAAATGAAATATCCAAGAAATATCACTTTTTGAATAAAAAAAAATTTGCACAGACTATATCAAATTCAGATCAAGAAGCTTTATTTCCCGGGTAGACACTGAAGGGGTACCCAGCCAAAAAAAAAACTACTCTAGGACCTTTTTTCTTATTTTTTTTTACCTAACCTGATGAAACTGCACAAGCTTGTTTGGATGTTTGTGCCGATTTCAAATATCTGGTAATTCTTTTTCTATCTGTGGATTAGTCCTTGGAATAATTATTACTCACCCGCCATTCTTTGCAAAGACAACAGGGAAAAAACTATCTTAAAAGATCATATTTTAACATATGGCTACGATCTACAAAGTATGAAGAATACAATATTGAAAGTACTTCATGGATTGAACCATTATCAGCAAAAAGTAATTTTACACCTACCTATACTAAAACATCTGCTCTCAACATTGTAAGCTCTGCACATTTAGCTACATGTTGCAGAAAAAGTTTGTTTATATGTGCCCTAGATGACCGAGATGTCCTTCCTAAACATTTGCACAAAGTCCACAATTTGTATCATGAGAAAGGACTGTTCTAGCATCAACTGCAGTACAATTTCAGCAAGCATGGGCATTATAAATTGATATTATGGCTCAAATAGTGATGCACAAAATAATAACCTTGGCAGTTCAAAAGAAAATTATAGTTTTCAAAATCGCCCCTTCGTTAAATCGAGAACTTCGTAAAATCGAGAAAGTCATTTTTCTGACATTTCATTCAGTAAATGCGAAGTCTTTAAAGCAGCAGCATCGATAGAACTACCATAGTATCAATACTTTGTGTCCACGCACTGAAAATTTTAAAAATGCACGGAAAAGTCCTCAAAGGGGTCACACCACAAAGGTGTTACACTAACGTCCTTCGATTTCGAGATTGTCAAAAGCGTGCTGGCTGAGATGACATGCTCTGCAGCAACTTCACATTACTTCCGTACGCTCGTGACAGCACAAATGATATCCGCCTTCTCTTCAAGGGTCAGCACTCTTCTTTTGGGAGCTCCATTTCTCAGCAGTGCAGAACGCAGTAAAACTGATACCATATGCAGAAAGAACCGGTCGTGGGGAGAGACAGGCAACAAAAGAAAACGAAAATCCTAACAAAGCAACAAAGAGCGGAGAGACAAAGACTATCAGTGCCATCTGTCGCACGCGACACGAAGCAACCGTCGCCGCCGCTAGTGCCATCTAGTCTGGGTAGTCGATTCAGAGCCATGCGGAGAATCAGTGTTCCGCGCAGTTTCGTTTTGTAGGGTACCTCCGGTACCTCGATACTACCGCTGACACACGAACGGCAAACTTTGACCTATACATGCCTTGCACGTGACGTCATATGGCACCGTACCAGCCGCCATTTCTCCGTACCAGGTTCCTGTACGGAGCCTTCTGCGGCATACATTTGGCACCATCGAATCTGCTCTTGTCGGCAAGCCTTGACCAGAAAAACAAATTCGATGGTGTCAAATGTAGGCTGCAGAATTTACGGCACAGGAGAACGGTACGGAGCAATGGCGGCTGATGTGACGTCAATGCAAGCCATGTATACTGGGTGAAATAAATGCAGAATAGCTTTCTTTTTGCATACAGTTTTTTCGGGAATACTTCTTTAACTCAGGTTTGGGAGTCAATTTACTTTGCTATTATGAGTTCATACAAGGGTTAAGCCCTGTAGGAAAACTTCAGCAGAAACACAATTTGTTCGTTAGATCGGGAAATTCGTAACATCGGGGTCCGTCAAATCGAGTTTTGACTGTATTTGTACAAAATTTCATTCAATTTGGTGCATAAATAGCGGAACTATTTTTAACTGCCACGTTTCCAAGTGTTTCTAGTCAAATGCAGAACCGCTTCACTTTCCTTTCAAAGGATGGAGTCAGCCATGCGGCGAGCATGTCTGAGCGGAGAGAGGGTCGCCCACCTTCATGCGGCAAGCCTTGTTGGGGTTCCGAACGGCCTTCTCGTCGAAGGAGAACTCGTGCTCCCGGATGACGGCCCGGCTGTCCTTGTCCCCAATGTAGGTCACCACGTAGAAGTCCGGCGCCCATAGCTCAAACTCTCGCTCCCAGTTGATGATGGTCGACAGGGGGGCACTCACCAGGAACGGGCCCCGGCAGAGGCCCTGGGGACGAGAACGGGGGGACTCGCTTGCTCAGACCGCCGCCACGAGGCAGAACGAAGGCGCACGAACCACGCCACAAACTGTCGATCTACCAACGTCGATCCAACTGATTCGACACACTGGCCAGGTTTTGACGACGCTCAATTTCTTTTTATTGGAAGTGGTGGCGCAAAATACTTGCCCCGAATCCAACGCTGAATGTTTAATTTTTAGACTGACAATACTTACCCCTGAATTCGAGGTTGAATGTGTAATCCTTAGACAGAGCCATAACTATTGTTTATATTCACAAATGTAAACACTTCCTGCTGGTCGTGCTTGTTCCAGGCACTATGGCACAGCTTATTTGCTGTAGTTGTTAGTCAACAGGTGCTACTCGCTGAAACACCACATGCCCGGCGTACGAGAAGCGCTCCTCTACGTCAAAGTGACACTCCCTGCTTCTCGCACGGTGTTTCCGAGAGCGCCTGCTCTACGGCACTGGTAGTATTGCAGCGGTCACAGCAAACAAAGTCTGCTCTAGTACAGCGATGTATACGATGGCGACAGAGGTTGGGCCACCAATGCACAGCTCAGTAAGATGCGCCCAAGCTGAAGGAGTAACTACTCAGAACTGCTTGAACTTGTGAAGTCCGAGGCAAGCGTGCATCTCGAGCACCGGGAAACCCAGGCACCTGGGGTCCAGGACTATGGAACCCGGAAACTAAGATACCTGGGAGCTAGATAACTGGGGACTAAGGTTCCTGGGGACAAAGGTCCCTGTGTGTGAACTAATGAATCTGGGAAATAACATATCTGGGGATAAACATACTCGGGGACAAACATATCTGAGGACTTAGGTTCCTGTGAACTAAAGTGCTTAGGGATTAAGGCACCTCAGAACTAAGGCTGCCAAGGACTAAGGTAGCTGGGGACTAAGCTACATGGGAACTAAGATACCCGGGTGCTAAGATGGCTAGGATTAAGGTATCTGGAAACTAAGGTAACTGGGAACTAAGCCTGAATGTCCCCAATTTAAGCAAAACCCCTACTCCGTCCCAGTGGCGTAGCCAGGGAAAGAGCTTATGAGGCACCAGTCCCCCCGCACCCCCCAAGGTCCAGCCGACCTTATAATACTACACATGCATTCTAAACCCCTAACCCAAATCATGGATATACCAGCCATCTCAAGCCCCACCCGAGAAAAATTCATGCCTACGCCACTGCTCTGTCCTCCTGGAGCAGGGGAGCAAAGAGAGAGAATGGGCGTACCTCCTTGAAGAGGGAGTAAAGGAACACGATGGTCTGGATGGTCTTGCCCAGCCCCATCTCGTCGGCCAGGATGGTGTCCGTGTGGTTGGCCCAGGAGAAGCGGAGCCAGTTGACCCCCTCCAGCTGGTACGGGTGCAGCTCATTGTCGTTCTCCACCACAAAGGGGGGCTGCACCTCATACTTCTTCTTGGGGTCCACGGGGGCCCGCTCGGGCATCGGGGAGCCCCGGCCCCCTCCACGGGAGTCCTCGTCCCGGAGATCCCTAGACTTTTTGCTTTTAGACTTGCTCTTCCCCCTAAAAACACATCCAGGAGAGAAAAAAAAAAAAAAAAAGAGCCTTATGTTAATGGTTAGAGACTTTGCTGCGGCAAGCTGCAATCAACAAACCCACAGTAGGGTCCCACTTTCACCTACAGAAGGCTCGCAATAATTCACTCGGATATTTCATACAACCGATTAATTCGAAGAAATAATCCAAATTTGGTTGTCCTGCTGTTTTTAATGAACGTAGATGCCGCTTTATTCAAACAGCCTTTTTTTGTGTAATTCATACATTTTCTTCTGGCAGCCCGGTTGAATGCACTTCTTTCCCAGCATCAGTGCACTGGGGGGGAGTGACAACCACGGAGCTCACTTCCGCGGGTGTTGCTTCTCTGCAGTGCACCAGTGCACTGCAGAGAAGTGCACTGGTGCCCTGCAGTGCGCCGGTCCTCGGTAAGAAGCACGCTCAACGGGGCTAATAGTCCACAATGGACAACTTTTTTGCTAGATGAGCGAAATTTTGGGTAGGGTTGTCATGTCAGCCTAAACAATCCACGATAGACAACATTTTTGAGGAATTAATAGACTTCTCCCATACATTTCACCAATGTTTTACGTGCGACATACCTGTTTATGATTTGTAGGCCTGTGTAAAGAATATCATCAAATATCTGCTTTGTATCTGCAGTCATCCATAGTCACCCATTTTATCTTGCATCACATTTATGTGCTGTAAGATCGATGCTTCCCTAAGGGTGTTTCGCAACGAGTCAAGCACCCTTATGGAAACACCAATTTTAACAAATTGCCATGCTATGGAATTATCTTGCCTCAAAAATAGTTCTGGCACCGCCTTTCACATAAACTTGTATTCAAGTACAAACAATTCATGGCTGAGACTGATCATTAGATCTATACATCTTTAACCGTAGCGCAGAGCAAAGCTGGAGACTTGTAGGCATACAAACAGAAACATACGCACTAAAAATGCAAGGTCAAGGTGCTTTTGTTGTGACTGATTCTTTTGGCTGAGGATAGTAAAAACAAGAGAGGTTATCTTCGCAATTTTTATGGCATTGGCATTACGGACCTATGATAAGCTGAAGTACAGCACCTTAAAGGTCAGATTGTGAAGGCCAATCTACGGAATCTCCTTCTACAAAGCAGAAAACCCTTCCTGGTCGCAACCTGTTCTCCTCTCCTAAAAGGAAAGGGGAAATCGGTGGCCGAGCGGGCTAGAGCGCACACCAGATCGGAGCACGTTGAGCAAAAGCTCGTGCTGCAGAACCCAGAAATCCTGGGTTCAATCCCCACCCCTGCTTGCTTTTATCTGGATTAGCATCGTAGCGGCAAGCGGGTGTGTGTCACTACTGTGTGGTGCACTTAAAGACCCCAGGCTAAATTTCTCATCTACAGCTGGGAGACAATTGGGGCTGACTAACTTGTGACTGTATAAGCATACCCACAAAAAAAATTACTGCTCCCAAGCGGGGTCTCTGATCAGAATGAACGGAAATCGAGGGATGGTTTCCTCCTCTCTAGCTACTCTTTCGGTCCACAAGGTCCATCGAGGACCTCAATGTACAAAGGAAGGAGTCAGTGACAGGGGCTAAAGGGGGAATAAGGAGGCAATATAAAGGGGAGGTGCTCACCCAGAGGCCTTCTTGCTCGTGGGGGGAGCGTCCTGTGCCTCCATGGAGGCCCTCAGGTCCCAGTAATCCTGGGTGGCCTTCTGGAGATCCGGGATCTCAAACTCCCCGGGGTCGTCGGGTGCCTCCCACGACGACTGGTCGTACGACAGCTCCCGCCACTTGACCAGGTACAGGGTCGAGCCGTCCTTGAGGGTGCGGTGGTTGATCACCCGGTGCACCTGCAGCCACTCGGGCCGGATGCCGTAGCGGTAGTACTTCTCCTCCAGGTTCTGGTAGTTCTTGCTGCCCGAGTGCTTCTCCTCCCGGTTGCTCTTGTCGCTGCTGCCGTTGCTCCCATCGTCCGGCAGTGGGGGATCGTCCATGTCATTCTTGCGGCAGTAGTTGCGGTACAGCCCCGGGTGGTACACGTCCAGCTGCGCGCCACCACGGTCGTTACAGCATATTCTGAACGCCCGCTTTCGCATGCCCCTACTGGCAATATGGCAGTAGGTAACCTTAGCAGAGGGACAGCTTTGCTCTACCGTTGCCAAATTGACAACGGCAGACTTCCTCTCTATATAATGTCAGGCATGGTGGTCGCAGAATATCGATAGGAACCTCTTCTGACATAAAAGTAAGGTTTGGACGCCAGACGTGGTATAAATGGATGTCCCTTCAAGTATGAAGAGTTAATTGGAACTGCAGTTTGTGAAGCAACTTTTTGGCAGCAATATTAAGGGTTATCTATTCAAAACAGAAGACAAAAATGACCCGTGTAACTGCACTTTCGGACCCATTTTTCTTCATTTTTCCCAACCCCAAATCTTCAATAAGTTTTGCCAAAAATAGTTAGCACCTACAATTCAACTGCCTTGTTACTTTGGGGGGCAGACTCCATAAAATCTTCTACTTCCCCCATTTCACCTAAAGTAGTTTTTATACATAGTTTTCCAATCTCTCATTACATTGAGGCAAACACTAACGATCACCACTGAGACTTCCCCAACTTTTCTCTAAGTTACCACCCATGATTTCCCCAACTCCTTACTTCAAGCAAAAGTTCCCAACAGTCCCTTTTCAGACTTTCTTAACATTTCCCCACACTTCCTCAGAAAAAGTTACGATAAATGATTTGCCTAGCTCTTGTTACTTTGAGGTAAAGTTTCCAAACAATCCACCCAGAGATATCCCCAACTTTGCCCCATTCTTCTGAAAATAGTTATCCCCATGATTTATCCCAACTGTCCCCACTTTTGGGAGAAAACTCTCCTACAACTCTCTCCTAACTTCCGAAGTACAATCCTCCCTCACACTTCCCCACCTTTCCTCCATTTCCCTAGGAAGAGTTATATGTACCATCAATGATTTCCATACTTTAGGGCAAAACTACCAAACAATCTCCTCGCAGACTTCCCTAACTTTTCTTCCATTTCCTAGGAAACAGTTACCACCAATGATTTGCCTCACTCTCATTACTGGGGAAGGGGAAGTTTACCCCAAGATTTCAACAAACTTTATACACCTCACTAACTCTCACTACTTTCTAGGGCAAATTCTCCATGGGGCTTCCCCAACCTTTCCCAGATTCCTCAGGAATATTTACCAATAATTTTCCTAAATCTAATTATTTTTGGGCCAACCTCTTTAACTATTCTCTTGACCCTTGCTCAACTTTTCCCAGGAAGCTGTTACCACCAAAATTTCCCCAACTCTCTAGCTTTGGGGAATAAAACTCCTTGTCCTTTCCTCAGACTATCCAACCTCCCCAATTTTCCTATAAATACTTCTCCCCCTTCTACCCTTACTACGTTTGAAGGAAAGGTCCCTTACAATTATCCACGAGGCTTCCCCAACTTTTCCCAGATTTACCAGGGATAGTTACCAGCCATAATTTCCCTAAATACTCACCTAAATACTTAAATACTTACTTAATAACTTTGGTGGGAACGCTCCTCACCAAGGCATCCCCCCAACCCTTCCCCGGCAAGCAGAGCCCGCGGGCTCGGACGCCGCGTGCATTCCTCGCCCACCCACCTGGTTCTCCGAGATCCAGGAGCAGTGCCAGTAGGACATGTCGTGCCACTTGACAAAGAACTCGCGCAGCGGCTTGGGCTGCGGCTTCTTGCTCGTCGACGGCTGCGGGGCCGCAGACGATGTCGAGGGGGTGCTGGTCAAGGGGTCCTCGGCCTTCCCGCCTTCCTCCTTCTTGACGTCAGGGCCGCTTGCGTCGCCTTTCACCTCGGCCCAGCGCCAGAACAGGATTCTCTGAACCTTGCCCTTGAGTGGCTCCACCTGGTGACGCCACCGCCGCACAGGGGGGACAGCGGTCGCGGGGGGAGGGGAGAGACACGGGGGAAAAGGGGAGGAGGAGACCGGCGTTGTGGAATGCTGCGAGAACGCTGTTGCCACCCTTTGAGCCGAACGCAAAAGCGATGGCGGCAACCCGGCGAGGGGCTTTCGAGCGATTCAGGGACACAAAGGAGATACACATGCCACGGACGATAATTAATGTCTCTTGTTTTCAATAGATAATGGAAAACACTGATGAATGTACGGCAAAGTTGTTTTACAGCTATGTAGATAGCAGCAATAATGCTGTCTGAAAGGTGTGCAATCAGAGGGACTAAAGGGGATGAAGATACTCCTGAAATTTCACAGGGTGTAATACAGCACTAAATACACATTTGGTGAAAGATTGTAATCGTTACACGCAGGTGCCAATTTTTCCAGTTAATTCTATGGCGTGCCCCCTTCATTTGTAACACACCATACAAGTGTCCCCGGGCATAAAAAAGAGGTTCATTATATGCAGGTGTGGTCAGAGCACCTCAGATGGCAACAGCATCTACAAATCCAGAAAAAGACTGCTGCCACTACACAATATCCATGGCCTAAAGAAAGATATAGTGAACCTCTGTATCCCCCTACAATGTGGCATTGGTCCTCGTTTATATCCCTGAATCTCCCTTCCTGCACAACCCCAGGAGGGCCAACAATACTTTTGTTTCAGGTGCAAGCAAAACCAACAAAAGTGCCTCCCAAACTCTGCATTGTGAGACCCTTCTGTTGCATATCAGAGGCGTTTGAAATTGGTCAAAGTCAAATGAGCAGTAGAGATGGTACAACAGAGAACAAAAAAAAATATTTCTGGGCACCGCAATCACTAATTACCCCGAGGCTAAAGCAAAAGAAAGACAAAGTTGATAAAAAAAAAGGGGGGGGGGGGGGGGGGGGGGAACTGTCGCTGTACCAGCTCTTCTGCACTTTAGCCAGCCGTATTGCAGTGCTCACAGTAGAATATATCACAAAAGCTGACAGATCACGAAATTTCTCTGGTGCAATACACACACATACATAAAAGGAAACAATGCTGCCAAACCAAAAAGGAATGCTTACATTTTTCCTATTCTTAGATTATTCCAGACATTTCCAGCATTCAAGGCATTATGCCAATAGCAAATTGTTTCCTCCCAAGTCCCTTATTGAGGGGGGAGGCTGGTCTTTAACTTTGTGTTTTTTATCTTTCATTTATCGTGCTGAAATTCAGGATACTAATGTATTTATAAGTAGTGATTTCAAATGTGCAATTAGTTTTCAGATAGCTTTACGAAATCACGAGTTATTAATAAATTTGCCATTTTAATTAGGTTCTCTTTACGGGTCGTTAGCGTAAAATTCTTCAGAATCTTTCAGAAATTTTTATAGAATTGCATTAACCTAGACATGTTTTGTGCGGTGATGCTATTTTTGTCGCTTTATATCTCATACAATAATTTTAATTAATTAATCTAAAAAAGATATAACCTCCCATTTTGTGCAACTTCATTTTAAATGTTTTCTACCAATGTAATATCATTAGATTAGGCTTAAAATAGCATCACCGCACAAAACATGTCTTGGTGAATGTAATTCTATAAAAAATTGTGATATATTCTGAACAATCTTATGGTAACGGCCCGTAAGGAGGACCTAATTAAAATTACAAATTTGTTAATAACTCAGGATCTAGTTAAGCTATCTAAAAATGAATTGCATATTTGAAATCACCACTGAGAAATACATCAGTATACTGAATTTCAGCTTGATAAATGAAAAATAAAAAACAAAAAGTTAAAGACCAGCCTCCCCCCTTGAATTACCTAGCTACAGCTTTCCATAATGGCCATAACAATTTAGTAGACCATTTATTGGACGTATCTGCTACTGGATCCCCCTTTCAACACTCGTATTGATGCACCACATGCAGAAAGTAAGACAGCAGAATGAAGCCAACCAAACTGGAACTGGCATTTTCTGAGCAACAAAAGAAAAAAAGAACTTAACAGTAGTCTGTTGCAACAATGCTATAAGCTTCATAATTTATAGACATAATTTCTCTCATTTTCACAGGCACATGAAGCAAACCAAAACACTGCTGTGCAGTCATTTTTACCCAAACACCTTACCATCTAAGAAAATAGAAAGTAAAACAATGAGATTTCATTGTATTGTTTCAAAATGTCTGAGCTGATCCAGCTTTCGCTCTCCAATTCATGATACACTGCAAAGGTATGTGCCTACAGGGATAAATTATTATAATTATTAAATTACTAAAGTAACATTTCTCTTATACCGTATTTGCTCAAGTAATAGCCACACTTCTTATGAACAAGGACCTTGCGTCTACTTTTCTGCAGAACACACATACAGCCAATCATCGCATTCTGCATAAAAAATGCAGCGAATAACGAGGTCAAAAACACAATTCTCTGTAAGAATGTGATCAGGGTAGATAGCATTTTCGCGTGAAGACATCATCTCTGTCCCATAAACCACTGCCATTTTTCTGCCGATCGTGGTGAATCACTATACCTGTGCTCCGCCAGAAATCCGACCCAGAGGTCTTGTTCATAAGCAGCACGGCTATTGCTTGAGCAAATACGGTGTTAAAAAGAATACCAACATAGCCAAAAATTTATTTCTTTATTTTACTTTCTAGACTAAGTTCTGACAGTGAACGCACAGATAAGAAAGAAAAAGAGACAAGGAATCTCAACAACAAGGTTATGTTAAAACACAAGCTTGCTACATTTTGCAGTACCAAACAATGAATAAACGACGCAATATTAAAATAATTTGCCTGCCATGCCTATAAAGTGGCTACTCATAAAATAGCATAGGCAGATGACTGCACTGGCGTACGTTGACATATCGGTGAAACTCCACATTGCCATGAAGCAAAGCCCAAGAAATCGTGCCGCAATTATTTTTCTTTTTCTCAATGAGAAGTCGAGAAATCCCACGACATAATCATTGCGATGTCACGCTTCCCACTGGCACAGTTCAAGAGAATGAAAAACGAAATTCGACACTGTCCCTTGTCACCGTTTCATCTGACTGCAAGGCCTTTCTCTTCCTGCAGTTGCAAGGAACAGAAAGAGAAAGAGACATGAGAAAGAAAAAAGAGGCCGACAGGACAGAGAAAGGGAGACGTAAGGAGCAAAGGAGACAACACGAAGAAAGGGTCAGAAAGAGGAAGCCCAAACGTCCAAACCTTGTCCCGTAGAATACGAAAGGGTAGAGGCCGAAAGAATCAGAGAAAAAAAGAAAACGTTCACACACACGCAAGCGAGACAAACAGAAGAGTAAAGGCCGGTTTACATCGAGGCAACAGTTGGTCAACTCGATCAAGAACACGGACAAAATGCTTTGTTACCGTCCCGTTATGCCGATCATAGACAGGTAAATCAACCCCATTTCACCTGTCAGTTTGCACCCTGTTGGCCAAGCGTTAAATAATGTTAACACACTAAAAAAAACAAAAAAATTTAACACACGATTTGTGGCATACTTGAAGCTCTAGTAGAAGCAGGAGAGGCTTTCACAGGTGAAAGTACAGGACCAGGCAGTTCGCAATAGCGGCGTTAATATTGACCAAGAACATGCGTAGCGTGGCATGCGGAGAATAACAAAACCAAAACTCAGCCACGACAACTCTCGCAAAGAGTGCTATCTGCGCAAAAAAAGAAAGCAGCTAGGAAGCTCTGGGCATTCGTGCAGTCAGCAGCAGGCAGGCAATGCACCATTTTGTGTCTGACCACTGTCAGACTCCCATCCCAGATTTATGAGAGCAAAACACTGCGATGTGACCTTGGAAAACTTCAGCCCCACTAAAATGTAATCGGGACCAGAAGGAGCAGGCCTAAAACATCTATGACTTCTTGCACAAAGGTAGATCACAATAGTACTATGTATGCACATGCAAATGACCCCATAGTTGTGGGTGCAAGAAAAATAGTGTTACCTAGACATCCAGAGGTGCTACTACAGCTTCAGAGGACTAAGCAGTTGTTTTTAGGAAAACTATGATCTGAATGATGTAGAGCCTTGAACAAAAGACAAACACCTAACCATACAGTAAACAAGATTTCTTTTTCTTTTTTTTTTTCCAGTTTGGTTTGGCAGCAACCTTGTAACATTTAGTACCCCTATTCAGGCTTGAAGTTATAAAACTCGGCACCAGCTTTGCCGAATAGAGTAACCCCTGTAAGACAGCATAAGACATGTCACTTTTCAACCACAATGACTGCACCATTTGTTATGATTCCCTATCTCCGTCCTAAACGTTTGGTAACAAAAACAGTATTCACTGCCATTTAGTTTGCATTGTTCCAGTTTCAAATGCATCCAATATATAGCCTCGATCCTTCGACATATTTGCACAGGGTGTTCCTTTTAGCGTGTTACAAAGTTTTACAACAAAACATTCTACTACTGTTACATTACAAAACTGCAATCAATGAGACTCCATTCCAATTTAATATTGCTGCTGAAATACAAAATTTTTTTGAAGGTTCGATGAAACCCCCAGTACCCTTTGAAATTTAGAACACTGGCAGAACAGTTGACACATTGCCTCAAATACAAACCCTAAAGCCGCAAGTCCAAAAAACATAGGTAAAAAAAAAAAAGAAAAAAGGACTGCTTACTTGGACGTTTTGTTATTTCATGAAATAAAAAGAGACTCTAAAGGGAACACCCCGTGCCAAACCTCGCACAGAAGTCGTCAATACCTTATCTACTATTTATTCGAGATGAGAGAAACGGACAGCACACAAACGACTTCTGGTTACCAAAGAGGGAAAACTGGAGTGCGTTAAGAGAGTAGCGAGTGTGTTAGAGAGAGAGAGAGACAGTGAAAAGCCAAAAGCAGGCGACTCTCCTCATTACAAGGGCAGAGAGAGAGAGACAGAGAGAGAGGCGTAGGAGAAGGAGACCACTTGCCGAGCAGCGTGGACAGTTCCACTTTCCGGTGGGGACGTTTTTCAGAGGGGGGTTCAGACAAAAGGTGTGGAAGGCCGCAGGACAACTGTCACAACACAATAACTCGCCACCGTCTTTACACACCCGGCAGAACTCCATGTGCTCGTCTTCCTCCTGTTCCTGGATGCCTTCCCCTTCCTGCAGTGCAACCAGATTGGGGGAGAGGAGAGGGTGGGGGGAAAGGGAAACACAGCCAAAGGGGGAGGGGGGACCGACCTGGTCTCCCCCTCGCACCCGCAACATGGTTTGCACGGTACGCAACTGACCAAGCAGTTATAGCTGGGGTTCCGTGTTTTCGGGGTTTAATACGGGGGTGTTTTTTCGGGTTTCATCTTTTTCATGGATTCGTTGTTTTTCAATTTTTGGACAAAAATAGTTTCTCAGGACTTCCATGCAAGTAAATAGGGCACAGATATAGACTTCGGAACCTTCGAGGAACACACACGCCGCCCGAACACTTGGAAAATGTCTCCGTATCTACAATAGAGGAAAACGAAATAATGTGAGTGGTTCCGAAGAAAGAAGCGAATTTGTTAGGGCCCGTGGGCAGGGCAAGCCAAAAACAACGCCGAAGGTTATGATCTCTTCCTGCAAAGCTCGGTTTTTTTCCTCTTCAAAGGTCGGCTCGAATTTTAGGCTTTTCGGTTTTCCCCGATTTTGACAAGACTGGCTCGGGGGCGAATTTTCGGGGTCTGTCGGTATTTACCGAAAACACGGAACCCCGGTTATAGCCACTGACAGAACGAGAACGAGCATGACGGGAGGCAAGGAGCCCGTGCCGGAGGCCGGACATTCTTTGAAAAAGACACCCTCCTGTTCTCGTTCTGTCGGCGACAATAGTACGAGCAAATTGAAGGCGGGTTCATTTGACCTGCCTAACCGGCCAAACTGGTTCGTGCAATTCGGGAACTGGTATGTTTGATTTGGTTGGAAGTTACAGTTAGCTGGCTTTCGTGTTGCACGGCTCCTGCACTTCGCTGAACCAGGGGTCTGAACTGGTTCAGAGCTCGCTGCCAAGTCGAACGAGCCTAGTAAGTATGATTCAATGACATTTGACATCGGGTGATCACTTCCCGCAACTGCCCGGCCCATTGAGAGTTTTCTTCAAACCAGGGATGGGCAAAATACATGCAAATATGTATCGAAATACAAATACAAAATACTTCGTCAAAAATGTATTTAATTACAAATCTAATTACATTTCCAAAAAAGTATTTAAATACAAGATACAAATACAACCAAATGTATTTGGTCTCCTCCAAATACTTTTCCAAATACATTCCTCAAAATTTACGTCAGCGACTTCCGGACACCTGCAACGGGTTTCTGGGTATCTCATTTTAATTTTGCATCCCCCACTCGGGAGTTAGTGTGCGAGGCTCTAGTAACGTAACAGAAATATAATCACAAAAAAAATGCTATTAGCTTGGATGTAATAGGTAAAAAAAGTACAGAGCTTCAAGCAGCTTTTTTTGTCGATTACATTTTGGTATAGACCAAGGGTGGCCACGCTGACCCGGTCTCAGAGCCGCAAACAAAATCACGAAACTTCCAAGAGCCGCAAGGGGGGAGGGGAGGGGGGAGGGGGCGCAAACTTTTGTTCAGAGCAATAAACGAAACTCGAACTACTTTCAATCTATCCGAGTCAAAAGCGGCCCAACTCTACGTAAGGTAGCAGTAGCGCAAGACTACCAAACCGCAACCTGTCTTTCGATTTAAAACGCGTTTCATTTCTCTATTTGGGGAAGTGCTTGTGTGACAAGGAGGGAGGCGTGGAAGGGGGGGGGGGGGGGGTAGGGGAGGGAGCCGCGAGCCGCACTTTCAGACGCGAAGAGCCAGCTTGCGGCTCGCGAGCCGCAGCTTGGCCGCCCCTGGTATAGGCCAACAGAGAACCGAGACGACCAAGACGCGCAGCACTAGCTAGAGAATTTTTTATTGTTGAAACTCGCACCAGTTACAAAAATCTGGACAACCCGCGCATTTAGAATGTTCTAGGCAAAAATATGGAGGGAAATCAGGCTGGAAAGCATCACAAGTTGTCGCAGGTACTTATTTAGCCAGTCTGCCTGTGAACGTCGATTTCGTCACTATTCTTGCCCTGGACTAGCACCGTAGTCACAAAGTCACTAAACGCTTGTGCTTGATTGAGGGACACTGCATTCTGTGCAGAACGTAGTTTTCTTCCTGCTCTGGACAGTGACAATAAATTTGAGGGATGTATTTTCGTCCACAAAATTGTATTTAATTACAATTGTATTGGAAATACCCACGTTTTAGTATTTAAATACACACGTCAAATACATTACCCAATTTGTAATTAAATACAAATGCAAAATACACAAAGTATTTGAAATACGTATTTCAAATACTTGTATTTGAAATACTGCCCATCCCTGCTTCAAACCAACGTGTTTGCGGTATCTCAGTGGCCATAAAGTTGTCTTTTGTAGGTTTTATTATTTTCAATTCTTAATGTATGCCTTGGATGGCCTAGAACGTCAATATTTCAGGTTCCGAGCTATAACCGCGCGCAACCGAGGATTCAAGAGCTAGAGCGATCCTGAACACTCGATTCATGAACGGCAGTTTTCGTGTGGCGAAAAAACAAATTTCGAACCGCAAATATGCTTTAATTCTTTTTCTGGGTAGATGGACCTTCCTACGTTGTGTTTGGGTTAAAATATTGGCTAGCATGAACACGTTGTTGGTGTCCATTGACCCATTGACCTGATCTAGCCCCAACCAAGCCTAGCCGAACTCATCATCCTTAGAACCAGGATAACCAATCAGGCACTGTCACAAACAGCGGCAGCTTTTTTGTTTATTTTCGTTCATGCTCACGCCACCGTGAACCGGGAGATGCGCCACTAACAGCTCCTGCTGTAATTTCCTTTTTGTTTTATTTCGTTCATGCTCCCGCCGTCGCCAAATTTTTCTGCCAAATTTGGCAGGGAAACGGAATTGGTGCATAGGTCACGCGACATCAATTTTTCCTCTAAACTTAGCGGTGAACATGAATTTGTCTGTAGGTCCCGTGACGTCGGGTCACGTGATATCAAATTTGCCTCCAAATTTAGCGGGGAAATCTCTCAATTACACTCACGCAGTCGCGAAATTGGGGAACAGGCCTGTAAAAGCTGCCGCTTTATAACTGCAAGACACCACATGCCTCGATAGAACGTATAGTGGAGTAAAACTGGTCTTATATTTCTACTCGGGCGTGTCACTAATCGAATCAATAAATGCTTAGCACAAGCTCCTCCAGGGTTCTGGAATAGTAAAAAGTTAAGATTTAATCGTTCCACTGCTATTGCACCTACAACTACCGCCACCAATGTGCGCTTCACTGCAATTGTGGAGCTTGCGGAAGCTGCTGAGAATGGAACTTGTTCAAATAAACTCGAGGACAACTTTCAGAGGCAACTTGGTTCTCCAATACACCACAAAATGGCAATGTAAAAACTTTTCTTCTTTTTTTTTTTTTCTTCTTTCTTTTTCTTTTGAAGCTCCCAATTTTTAAGCGTAGCACGATCATCTGCCAAACTGCACACAAGGCCACTCTTTCACTGCCCTTCCACTTCTCCCAAAAAAGAAAGCAAACGGTCCAGTCTATCGCATGCACACTACTGCCTTTGCACAGTAGTATGCACGCATTGCGCGTGACAAGAGCACACGACCGATGCGCACGCACACTGCACACAAGAATGACGCATCTGCATGGTGGCTGTGCCGTTCCGCCTTCCGAGATTTGAAGCGCAATCCCGAAAGTGCCCAACGTCAGAGGTCGCCGCCGCTCAGCTACCAATTCCACAAAACTGGCACAGAAAGATGTCCTCGAGCGGAACGTACCCGCCCTGGCCGTCTACCTCTGCACTAAACGAAGCAGAGCTAGACTTTGAGCCCGGGGGAGGGGTTCGTCCCCGGGAGGAGGGGCGCGCCGGAGGGGTCCACTCACGCAATGGGGACAGCTCCATTTTCCCTCGGGGGGCTCCTCCAGCTCTGGCTCCAAGCAGACCAGATGGTAGGCACGTGGACACGTGTCGCACAATATGATTTCACCCCCTTGTTGGCACACCTCACAGTAGTCCTGATGGTCGGTCTGCGGGGAGAAGCACCAGACGGGTTCAAGAGGAATGCACGGGGTACGGCGAATTCGCGCCGAAACGCAGGAGACGTTTGCGTCTGCTCTTGAATCCAAGCAGACGTCTTCGCTTGGGAAAGCATCCTACGTGCTAGAAATCTTTATGTGGGTCTATGCAGAGTGCAAGTTCGTCTGCTTCTTGAGCGGAGGTCACGGTGACACGTCAGAACGTCGAGTTCTGACTGGCTCCGATTGGAAGGAGAGTGAGTAGACCTTAATGCTAGCAGCCTCAAAGTCTACTCACTATCCTTCCAATAGAGCCAATTAGAGCTAGGCACTTTGATGTCACCGCAAGAAGCAGACAAACTTGAGCTCTGCATTGCTGCCTTCCCCTATTGATGTGTTAACTTTGGAATGCATGCGCAACCTCAAGAATGCAACCTTCAAGTTTGACAGCAATGCTCATTCATTATTACAGTTACGAAAATTTAAGAAGCAACGTTTGTCACCACTCTAACAACAATATTTTTAACATTTCCAGTTTCTCTTTTTGTTTTTTTTACCATAAAACAGGTCATAGACACATAGGTTGTTTGTGTTGCATCCTGCACTCAGTGGATAATAAAAAAAAAAAAAAAAATAGTGGACTCTTTTACGATGCTCTTTTGTATTCACGCTACGCCCCAAAGTGCACAAAACAACTTTCAAGAGATACTGTACCGAAATTTGGATTTTGAAAAATAAGGCCGCAGAAGCGTTGAATGGGGGGGCTACGAACTCTAAAACCTCACTCATACATCGATATCTCAAACAAAGGGCCTTATTTTTGGAAAAGAAGGGTGCGATCAAGCGAGGACTCTGACGTCATGATCCTCCTGAGAAAGTTGAGGATGAGGGAAAACGGCCTCACTTTTCTCCTCCTCACTTCTGTTCACCAGCTCGACGGGACGAAGCGAGGAGGAGAGGGAATGAGAATCGTGACGTCACATGTCTCGTCCGCCTCGTCGGCCGCGTTCAGTCGCACAATTTTTACCAAAAAATACGGCCATCCGTTCGAGGTATCGCTGTACGAGCGGTCTTTTTGGGTACTGCAGCATCCTGCATATCGCTCCAGCCGTGTTTTGCGAGCTACAAATTTCGGTTCAGTATCCCTTTAAAGGGGTGCTAAACCACTGTCTGCGATAGTCTACTTATGGCCGTAATTGAATCTATGGGCTCCCGCATGACCAATTTATTTATTAAAATCGGTATAAAAAATCTAGACACCACAGGGCACCCTTTATAGTCTGTTGCAACTCACAACTCAAGAAGGTAAGGCGAGGGTAAGACGGGCCGGGGAGGAGAAAGCAGATGGAACGCCGGAGAAGAGAGGAAAAACCTCCTCCTCTCTTTAGCGTTCCGTCTATTCCGAGGTAATCAATCTTTGATAGCTATTTTAATAAAAAAAAATTGGCAATGCATTAATGTCATTTTTTTTTTAGGATACTTAGAGCCCAGAGATTGAGTTATGACCATAAACAGACTATTGCAGTAGGTGGTTTATGCCCCTTTAGAGGGCACAACATCACAAACAGCAACGAAACAAGCTATGTCGGAACTAATTACAGATTTGAAGAGAAAATATAAAGCTCTATACAAATTTTCAGTCGGCTATCAAGAATAATAAAAGAAAGAATTTCTGAGGTCCCCTTTCAATGGAAAGGTTTACAAGGTTATTTGTTTTATTAGAATTTCTTTTGCCACATGCAATTTTTTTTCAGAAACATACAGCTGAGCAAATAGCACAGGATCTTAAACTGCACCAAATTTTATGACTGGGACAGGAAGTTAAAAATAAGACTTATTTATCCCTGCTAAAATACTTTATGCAAAATTTTAAAAAAAATTTAAAAAATAAGTGTTAATTGTGTTTGTTTTGACAAAACAATAAAAACAAAGTCAACACGACTGGTGTAAATTAAAACACCAAGCCATAGAAAAAAAACACATCTAACTTTTATTTGACCTATGCAATGAAGAATGCCTCCAAAAAATTGCAGTGGCTTAGCTCGGCCATGCCAGGATATACGTAGCATGAGCTCATGCGCGCAAAATGAGAGGCGCTATCAAGCGGCTCCGGTGCAGCGTCAGACTTGGCTACTGCGCAACAAAGGCGCACAGCTGGGCACGCGGCGGTGCCAGTGCGTCTGCCGCGGCTATAATGTCACTCCTCTGGAATGCGCAGAAAGGCGAGCTGCTGCGACGGCGGCTGTTCCTCGCGCATGCGCAGCAAGGCTCTTTGGGAGCCACGCGAAACTGCTCAACTTCGGCCGGTGTAGCCCACGCTACAAAATGTGCATTCACCACCTAGTTACAGTAACCTTAAATGCAACTATATTCAGATACAAGTCAAGAATGTGCCAGAAAACCTTTCCTCCAGCACGAGCTCTAGCTCCAGCAGGCAACGTGTTCTTAACTTGTATCCAACTACAGTGGCAACGTGTTCTTAACTTGTATCCAACTACAGTGAGGTTAAAAAATCAATTTGAGCACTCCACTACATCGCTGTCACAACAAAATCTATCTCCCCAACCCCCTTTTGCGAGAAGGAGGAGGAAAAGGTGAAGGAGGAGGAGGAGGGGGAGGAGAGGGAGGAGGAGGGGTATGCACGTTACCTCGTAGCCGTCGTTCTCGGCGTCCGAGTTTGGGAAGCTCGCAGTGGTCTTGGTCTTCTTCTTCTTCTTGGCCTTCTTGGCGCGTCCCTTCTTGGAGGAGGACGAGGAGGCCTTGTCGCTCTTGGCAGGGGGAGGAGTCATATTCTGCGCCTCTTCCAGCGCAGCCTCAAAGTCAGCGTCGCTCTGGTCGCTCACGCTGTTCTCTTCCTCCTGCGGCACGAGCGACGCATTGTCAGCAAGGCCGCACAACCGACCTCCACCGTCTCCCATGCTCCGTTCACCCCTAGGCTGACGGTGTGGTGGGAGCTGCGCAGCTCGCCGGACCCACTGACCATCTCCCCTTCGTCGCCCGACCCCACTTTCTGCACGTGGGTGTGTGGGCCAGAGTGCGACTGTGTGGCGGAAGATTGGCGTACGACTGGTCCACCGAGCACGAAGCTTCCGCTGAACTGTCAACTTAGCAGTGAAGGCGGAACAGGTGGACTTGATAGTGATTACGGGTTTTCTGGTAAAAGGGCATATTAGGCCATACTGCACCAACCTAGGTTAGGCGGACAAGAGAATGGGTAATTCTGCCTTTGTCGTTCAGACGAACAGGGACGTGCTGGCTGAACTAAGAGATCTGAAGGCAGCAGCCCGGTTATCAAAAATGGCCATATTTCCCCTAAAAAAAGTGCACTGCAGGCCCCTGTCTTTCAAAAGAACATCGCTGAGTTACTATCAATGCACACTGGACCATGCTCGCTACAGCTTACTAAACTATAGTCAAATTTCTCCTCAACAGAGTGCAATAAAGGCCCTCACCTTAAGAAAAAATGGCTGAGCAACTATATTTACCTAATTACCACTCATTAGTGTTATGCAGGGCCCAGATCTAAGAATAAAATGTAATCGAAAGTTGTTAAAAACAAAAAACAAGTCTATTTTTTACACTGGCCAAATCAAACTTTCATGGGATAATAGAGAACCCTCTTCTTGACATTCATTATCTGTGTTACCCAAATAAAAGCTCCTTGGCTATGTAATGATTCTGTACAGTCGCTAACTAAGACAACTGAGCTGCCATTTTATGAGTGACACAACCATCTGAGTTGATGCATGCCACATTCTACAGGTATAGTCAGCTAATTTTGATATGCACAAATGATGTGATGCACCTTAACATAAAACATGGTCCATTAACAAAAAATGGTGTGCCGCCCATATGGTGTGCCGCCCATACCGTCCACCACAAAAGGCTGCTTGCATAGCTAGCAAACGGCACACGCAGGACCCAAATGTGGAAGTACGTACCGAGCTTTGCTTCTTGCGCTTGCCGATGCCACCTAGCTTGATCTTAAGCAGGGGCACCGACTTCTTCTTTTTGGTTTTGCTCCGACTCGACCGCTCTCCATCTACGTCCCATCACAACCGCAACAAAGGAATGAAACAATTGCACCAAACAAATGAAAAAAATGAAGTATACTGGGATGCCGTGTATCTCCACACCCCCAAAACAGAGAAGCAGCCTGCAGGAATTTTCCGGCAGCCTCGTGCAAATGCGAGACAAGTTAGTTTGCGAGTTGAACAACGGCGTTGCCAGCTGCTTTCACGTGACTGTCACCAAGTCAATCGGAAGGCATTTTACTTTCGAAGCATTGCCAGTTCCCAATTTTCTTCTTGTCCCAGATTAAATTTTCTACCAGTTTTATGTACGAGTCATTAAGTCGGCATTCCTTGCCTCTGCCAATCGAGACAAGGACCCGATTAAAAAACAGAATGTATGGACGGATGTGCAAAGTGCCGGCTCCCAAGACGTGCTCTAGCATTAAGATGAAACTGCCACGGCGCAATCTTGCAGCACATATGACAAGAACACTTGAAAAGAGGACTGTTATATTAGAAAAGTGGTCGAGCCCCAGTGCGGAACTGGGACGATTCCCACAGCGAAGGCCAAAGGATCTATTGCATCATGTTCTTATTAATGTAGCAGAACCTCATTGATACTCGGTTGATACGTTTTCCCAGCTGTTACGTTCAAAAACGACGGTCCTGTTTTACTTTCATGGAGATAAATGTATTAGTTTCCCGCCTGTTACGTTTGCTTTCCCGGTTTTTACATCCAGAAGTGTCGGCATTGTGGCGCTTCGGCACGCTGGGCGCCAGGCTGCCACGCTGGCTTCGAAGCAAAGCTAGCGAAACAAAGCCGAACCATGCAATGTGCTTCCCACGGCACGTGTGGGCACGCAAACGCCTGTCTTCCCTTTACTCCTTTCCCATTCTTTTCCGCCTCCTCGCTGGGCTTTGCTGAGCTTTGCCGCAGCTTCCCATCCTTCCCATCTTGCCCGGGTGTGACCTTGGAGCACCGCTCAGATGGGGAGCGAGGCTGGAGAGGCGGCAAACGCTCATTCTCTCTTTCATCTGTCCTTCTCTTTTTCTGGCATGAAGTGCACCCGCATGCACGCTGTGCTTCTAGTTTCTGTTCCGCTCGATTGCGTGAACCGTGGCGTTTCGGAATATGTGCGCTTTGCGCCCATTGACGACGGTCATGGCATCGCGAAAAAGGAAGGCACTCTTTTAAAGAGAAGTTTGATATACCTTCACATGGTGCATCACAATCCCAACCGGAAGAGATCTGACATTGCAAGAAACCTCGCACTCGTGCCGTCAACTTTGAACAGCATCGTCCCCAAACGGAGATTGAGGCGAAATCTCCTTTTTATTAACCAAGCTTTAAACAGGCTCGGGGGACAGAACACGCAAAGTTTGAGTGCCTGAGTCCTCAACAGTTCTGCAAGTACACATAAAAAAAACCATTGTATAAGAGCTGCTTTCTATCTCTTGTAGAACCCCCCTAAGTCCGTCATCGGTTGTTACGTTTTTCTAAATGACCTTTTTTCTGCGGTCCCCTGAAAAACGCATCAAGGAGGTTCTACTGTATCTCCTACTTTTCTAACAGGGAGAGATGCTAGGATGGGTGTCTGTCGCTTAGCAGTGACGTGCTGCCATACTAGTTCATGAAATAAGACTAAACACTTGTGCACATCCTATTAACAGTCCTAAGCTCCAATGTCAAACAGGCACATAATCCCAGCCTTCTACCGCTCACTTCAGTCCAGAACAACGACCCTTTTTCTTGAAGTTTGCGGTACGCCAGTTCGAACTGGGCAGTGACGACGGGGAGCAAGTGCACGAGGTATCCGGAAGATTCCAGCAGGGCATCAGTTGCGCGTCAGAGAGAGAGACAGAGACAGGCAGAGTGCCCGAGATGTTTCGTGCAACCCAAAAAGGAGAAGGCTTCTCCGCAGGCAACGTACTGGGAGTCTCAGAATCAGCATTTCGGGCAGAATCAGTGTTTCGTCGGCGCTCATGCCTAGGTCGCTCCGTGGGAGTTTGCGTTTCACAACGCACTAGAAGGGGCGCCAAGTTTGGCAAGAGACAACAAAAAAACAATGGCAGAGCATCAAGCGGGGCAGCAAATGGATGGGGGGGGGGGAGGAGAAGGCAAAAATAAAACATCAAACAGCAGCAAAAGAGTGCTTCTTACTAAGGACCATGCACGCACCAAGCAACCAGATGGGAACATAAGAGTGCACATTGGCAACAGGCAGAAAGCCTGTTACTAATGTACGCCTACTTTTTTGTAAACAGTCAACCTGTGCTGAGGCTTCAAGGGACCATGAAAGGATTTTCCAGCGTTTTTTCAAATTAAGACCCTAATTAATCTTTAATGTTCATAAAATCCGGAGCAGGGTTCTATGAACCCTGCTCCGGGTTCGTAGGTTCATCAACCAGACTCGGCCCCCAACATGTGAAATCACGTGGCCATGACGTAAAGTATGCCTTTCTAACGTTTTGACGCGAGGACGTCGGAACGATCCCACCTGCTGAGGTTTCTATGAACGCGGATTGCTTCATAGGACTCGTAGGTCCTCGATGCTTGTGCAATCAACTTCATGGCTATAGATGTGTCACAGCTGAGTAAGGTGCAGCTTAAAATGTTTCGGTATAGTGGTGGTGTCAAACTTTATTAACAATATATCCGGCACTATCGGTATAGTGAAAGTATGGTTTTTGTTCCGTATGCCGAGACGCCCAGACGGCAAAACGAGAACTCGCCCAACGAAGGCTGTAGAAGTTTGGCGCCGGAACCGGCTGCAGAGTAGTGGCGATTACTCAGTACGAAATGGTAGGTTCACATTTCGGCTGAGAACACAAAACGTTAGAAACAAACCTCCCATGCTCTCGTTGAAGCTGCGGCTAATGCAACCGAATATTGAACTCGGTCATTTCCGTGGAGGGTGTTTCAAGGACAATTTCATTGTTTGCAAGCACAGTTCGAGTGACACACTATTCGTGTTCAAAACGGAAGCTAAATTCAACTGCCATGCTTGGAAAAAGGAAAAATATAAAACTCTATCATTGTGGATTATGCGGTCACTTTGCTAGGTGGCGCAAGCTACCGCCCACTACAGAAAGTTCACCACAACTCGTTTATTAATCTAACCATTCATACACTCAGCTTTGTTGTAAGCATTTGAGGGAAAGAGTGTAAGATATAGTGCATGTTTATTTGCCAAAATTTGATGCCAGAAATTAGGATATCGCCTTCCTAATCTTGTGCGCTAGTTTTCTTTTGATCCCACAAACGATATACAGTCAGTGAAATTCTAAAATCGTTTCACGGTCCCTTTAAGACAATCAACAAAGTATGGCACCTCATTCTCTAAATTAGTCTCCACTTTACTGTTGTGTACCTTGACAATGATAAGAAGATATGCAAGAGTGAAATATAGAGATATATCCAACCTGAATACTGCAACATTTTTTACTTCAAAGATTGCCCGGTGGCATGTGCCAGATCGTGTCCCTCCAAAGTGTGTTAGGATATTCAAAAAGGGCTGTTCAGTTCAGTTTTATTTTCCTCAGATGTACTTCAAAAACATCACTTTACTGATAAGCGACTCTCTAATATTCCCTAAATAAACTTTTCGATGGAGCAAATATGCAATGAGCTCTCATCTGTCACTGACCCTTAAGATGACACTATGCAAGACTCCTGGCGTCATGCCAGTACATTCTCACTGACACAAAGCAGGCAGGACACTACTAGGGCCTCAATCAAGCAGAACAGTTTGTCAAAGACATGACTGATCAAGCATGTCGGCTCATTATAATTGGAAAAGACAAGCAGAACACAATATGCTGCATAAGCAGTGGATTGGCTAGACCGGGATTCAGCCAATTAAAAATCCACCCCCCATGCCACACAAAACACTGCAACAGTCAAAGCGGGATGGGCGATGATGGCTCTGTATTTGAAAAGCAAGTAGTAGATGCAACACCCTGCTGCGACACAATGTTGGTGGTTTGAGGGAAGTGAACAATAAGCAGTACAGGTTATTATGTCAGCATGTTATACCAAGAAGCCGAAATACCGAGAGAAAAGATACCTGAAACCAGATCATTAGTACACATTTTTTTTTGTAAATGCCAAACAAGAATCCCATATTTCACTTTAGTGTACAGACAACAAAAACTGTGTTGACCAACTTGCTCGACGACAAAGAAGTTCTACTCTACTTACTATACACCCATATTGTAGCACTTCCTGTCTATGATGCAACACGTAAAACAAAGTATGGTAGCCGCAATTTGACAAGTGCTCAGTAGGAAGCAGCCCAGTGGCAACAAAAAGCAAAGAACCTTCGCTACCGACCAGCTTGTTCAAAGGGGAAACCGGGGCAGAACTTCTTAAATTACTAACATGTACGAAAAAAAAAGTTGCCAGGCTGAGACATTCTGTCAAGTGTAATTAAGGTGATACCAGTTCATGGAGTTGACGGGACAGGGTTCACTCCCGTTGGTCGCAGCACCGTAAGAGGAAAGGAAGGGATGGAGGAAGGAAGAGTGCAAGTGACGTGCTAACACTCACCCCCTCCCTTCCTCTTAGGGTGCAACCAATGCTAACAAACAAGGTCTGTGGAGGTTCCCATATAAGGCCATCTCCCTAAAATGTGTAAACTGCTCGATAATAAACCGAGAAAAAACCCGGCCTGCAGAAATAAAGAAAGACCTCCACCGCATCTTCCGTTACTATTTTTTACAGCAGAGGTTGGGGTGCTCGGGAAAACATTTCTGCCGCAACGGAGGCACTAACCTAGCATTTCAATCGGAAGTATGGCGCCTAAAATGCGTCTCCGACCAGTCTGCTTACCGCGTCCTAAAAAGCGGTTCCTCGATTTCCGCTGGACGACGTCGCAGGAGCGTCGCGTCGTCACCGGCCGCGATCTTGGTGGCATTGCGGGTCGGCGGCGTACGCCCGTTATGCTGTGGGTCGCTCCGTCTCGGCGATCCACGAAAGCTTCGGCAGCCGGGGCCCCGCGACGATGGTGATGCTCGCATTTGTTCGTGCCTTTTACCGGAACGCCTAGCCCCCAACTACCGAGATCGCGACGTCCCACTGCGCGACGCGCCGGCCTATGCAGCGTCATTTGTTGCCACTTCGGGACCACTTTAGACGCACGGGCAAGATAGGATGCTAGACAAACTAATCAGAGACACCTTCCAGGTACTGTACCGTAGCACCCTGAGGCAGCCCGGTGCCAGGAAAGCACGAGCACCTACCGTTGTCCTTGGAGGAGGAAGCGGCGGAAGCGGCAGAGGGCGCCACCCTCGATTGGCGCACGGGGCGGTCGTCCTCGTCGAGCGCGTCGTCCGCATTGGGGTTGTCCCGCAGGAACTCGTGCCATTTGGCCGAGATGAGCAGCACGATCTTGGCCATCGCGATTTTGGGGTTGGCCTGCCACACGGAGGACCGTGAAAGGGTCACCGCAAGTTCGAACTTGCCCCAACACCGACGCGAAACAAATCCTAGCTGAGACGACCATCGCGCGCATTGTCCCACATACAAAAGGCACCGTCGACGACAAGGCTCGCTCTAAAATTGGTCAAAATAAATCGGCGCCTGCACTCGGCAATCTCAAACTTAATTTTTCGCGGCACATCTACCTTCCTGTGAGGAACGAGACCAACCCCCTTGGCATGGTTGACGCCGCCGCAAGACAACGCCGTCGTCCGTTTGCTTTGCCTACCGGGAGATGGTGCCACAGGCCACAACCCCTGGTTAACTCTTTCTAAAGTAACCGGACATCCTGATTTAGGCGTGACGGGTCCTGCCGTCGTCCTGCTGACGTGCTTGTGGGACAGTGTTTTGTCCCGCTTTGGCTCCCCCGAACCCCGAATAGATAAAAGATGTGGTTAAACGAAGTGATACAGTGGAAAAGGTTCTTTCTTTGATCAATAAACAAGATATGCTTTAAACCGATGCTGATACTGAACGTTAACTTAAGTATGAGATGTGAACAGTACTATAGACATAGTATCTACAAGAATAAATACATTAGTGCTAAAGAAATATTCAAACCGAATGTATTACATATGCATGCTAAACAGTAAGCGAACTGCAAGGGAAAAAAAATGCATGCGGTGTATACAAATAGGTAATTAAAAAAGGAGATATTTTTTACCTAAAGTTTTCAAGTCTCACAACACCCTTCTGATACGCGTCCAGCTTTGGGGCCCGAGAAATATGGTCACTTTAACTCTGTCATCTGCAGCAGAGTCCTCCGTTGGTCGCATCAAGAGTGCCGACTTCGTTTTTCAAGAGCACAGAGTTACGCCCTAAAATTCCACAAGGGAAGATTCCCAACTAAGGTACGCCTCGACCAAATTTTCAGATCGCTACATGCAAAATTTTTCCGACTGATTTTAGAGCGAGTCCCGGTCCTTGCAACATCCTACAGTAGTAGCTTGAGAAACTCATGAATGAAGCTTCAGAGTCTATCTTCTGGTTGAGCAGGGGCTCTCCAACTTCCCTCCGTTCTTGACACTGATACAGTAAAAAAATATTCAGGAACCCAAAGAGTTTGCACACAATGATACTATGGAGTGCTTTGCTCAGAGTTATGCATCGAGTAGGGCAGGCAGGCAGCCAGGATTTTGATTGGGGGGGGGGGGGGGGGGGGGGGGGAGCTGCCAATGACAAAATGCCCCCCCCCGGCGACGTGCTTGGACTAGGGATGTCGCAAACTTCTGTAGAACCCAAGGTTCCACGTTGAACCTCTAGGTTCCACTGGTTTGTCAAACCTTCAAACATTTCGCAAAAAGCTCAATGAAGTTCAACTTATGGGCAGCAATGCCCAGCTTCTACCCCAAGATTTCGAATTCTGGATTACAAGAAATTTGGAAAGTAGCTTATTTTATATTTTATAAAATGATTACCAATGATTACACGATATAAAAGCAAAAATAAATACTTTTGTTAGTTAGTAATACGAACTAGTGAAGCAACACATCCAACAAATGTTGCACTTTTCCTCCGCCAGGTGGTGTCGAATCATTTTGAAATTTTCGCGCATGTGCACGAAATTTGAACTTCGGTCAAACTTCACATTGCAAGTTCAAGGAAGTCGAAGTTGGTTGAGCTCGAGCCTTGCCAGGTTCGCGACATCCCAAGCATCGATCGAAGGATGGCTTAGATAGGCCAAATTATTAGAGAGAGATCACTTTAGCTAGGGGCAGGGACAGTCTAAAAGATTCAAGACCTCGGGGAACCCACGTTGTGGAGTAGCCAGAAGACCATCAGTGCTATTTGGAGGAGAGTGGCCGAGGACGAGGCACTGACGTCATTTCGGTGCCCTACCTATGCGGAGCGCAAGTTTGTCGGCTGCGCAGAGATTGCGGCAACGTCAGAATGCCGAGCTCTGATTGGCTCTGACCGGAAGGATAGTGGGTAGACCTCAAGGCAGCTAGCATTGAGGGCTACACACCATCCCTCCAATCGGAGTCAATCACAACTTGGCGTTCCGACGTCGCAACAACCCCTGTGCAAGAAGCAGGCGAACTTGCGCTCCGCGTTGCCACAAGTAAGAAACGCAGGTGGGAAAGCATCCTTACCTTGGTGACGAGGGGACGCACGTGCTGCGAGAAGAGCTTGTAGCTCGTCAGGTTCTGGTAGTCCGCGTCCGTGTACTCCATGGGCACGTCCTGCAGGCCCAGCTCCGCGCACACCTCCGTCGAGCTCTTGTGCTGCTCCGGCTCCGGAGCGGGAGCCGGAGGGGGCTCCGGAGCCTGCTGGAACGCGCGTCCCGACAACGAGACATGCGTGAGTAAATCACGCTCGTTTCAAGTAAGTGACGAGCGGTGCCTCGACTCTGACGCTTGCACCACGGCAACAGAGGTTGAGGCGCAGAATGGTACGGTGCCTCAAACGCGTTTCCTACTAGTGCGCTTACTGCGTCCGAAAAGTGGTTGCCCAACGACGTCATAAAAGTATCACAGTGTCGCCGGCCACGATCCTGGCAGTGTTTGCAGCAGCGGCGGTGAATGTTGCAGATGCCTGCTCTGCTGCACATCGCTCTCCAGTTCAACAGTCCACGGAAGCCTTGGTAGCCGGGAGATGCCGCGACGACGCCGCTGCTTGCGTTTCCTCGCGCTCATTTCCAGGAATTCTATACCCAACTGCCAGGATCGCAACATTTGACAAAAAAAACTCTGGCTTCAGAGACATCGTTCGTTGCCCCCTCAGAACTGCTTTCGATGCAGGGCAGAATAGGACGCTAAACACACCGGTCTGAGACGCGTTCCAGGCACCATAGATTGACTGAGCATCGTACCGGTGGTTGTGTATTACTACTGCGTGACGCACGTCAGACTCCAAGGTACCAGTGGTGCTGCACTGGCTAAATTTCCCGTCTACGGCCCAACTCTACACCACCAAGCACCCTGGGAAAATTCTGGCCGTGGTGCCTTTGCCTTCTCCCTCACCTTTTTATGGGAAGCAATGCCCCCCTCCCTTTTTTTTATGTGCGGAGGCACCCTCCTTTTGATGCACCCTGGGCGACCGCCCAAGTCACCCAAGCCTAGAGCCAGCCCTGACAGCGTTACCTCAAAGTTGGACCGACCTTGCACCATCTAAACCCAAACGTCTAATTGGGCTTCGGTCTGGAGCCAGTCGGACAAACGGGCCCTCACCTTTTCCATGCGGGGCTTCTTGGCGGTCTTCCTGTCGATGACATAGTCGCTGTCGTTATCCGACTGGGCCCCCAGGAGCTGACTGTCACTGTCCTGCTGTCCCCGAAAAAAGAAACACGAGCAGCTCCGATACAGTTTTGCATTTCACTCCAAACAACTAAAACGCCAAGTAGGAATGTAAAAAAAAAAAAAAAGATAAAGAGGTTTACGATTTTCTGTAACGACAAATTAGAGCGCAGCTCTTGAGGAGAAGGAGGGGAGGGTATGCCCCCTCTTCCTTCCCCGATACATTTAGTGGGAATACCTTACCCTCGTGACGTCACACGTGATGTCACTAGAAAAAATGTAGCAGGAATTTTTTCTGACAATTTTAGCTTAATTTAGCGGGAATATTGGCAATGTTAGATGCATGTGAAGTCACCCGATGTCACATGTGACGTCATACGTCCCGTGCTTTCTATAATGACGACACGTGACGTCACGTGCAACGTCACGATGGTAACCCTCGTGACCCTCTTGAGGGTAACCCTCATGACAATAGTGAGGGTAACCCTCGTGAGGATAACCTTGTGAGGGTAACCCTCGTGACCTTCGCAAGGCTAATCCTCGTGGCGTCACGTGTGACGTCATTATGGGAAACTTCCCATAATGCAACGCCCGGTTACGCCAAAGGCAACGCCACTCAAGCCAGAAACGGGTGCCTAAGAGCTGCGCTCTAAAAAATATTGGGATGTATAGAACTTTTAAGAGAAACTGCATGCACGTAAGAGAAGCTAGAAAAAGCTGGAGCATGCAAAACGGGCGCCATCCGAAAGAAACTCGAATAGGTTTACCTAATTGCGCACAATGTCCTCAGTCTCTCTGAATTCTCTCCTACACAAGGTGAAACTCGATTGCTCCTTTTAAAGTTTCCCGGGGATCCCTCATCCCCTACTCCTCGTCCCACCTTGCTCAACCCTCTCGGACTCGCATCTGTATCTAGGCTACTCTGTCGATTCTCTAAAGGCGAGGGCTGTGAGCTCACCGCCTCTCTGAGGCGCTCTAAGTGTCCCTAAACTTGGCGTCAGCTTACTGCGCTACGTTGTCAAGGTCGGTATAGTTTCCGCAATGCTGTCAATGCCACTTGCATGAGCGCGGGAGAACGAACCACAAGAAGAAGCCACATGCCCGCGCAGTATGCTGTGCGGGGCCGCAGCAGTACGAAAACTACGACGGGCTCGACAAAGTAGTGCACAAGTGCCAACACCAAGCATGACGATGCTCCGACGCCAAGACTAGAGCCACCAGAAGGCCACGCTCGAGCCTCGTCCACACACGTGTTTCATTACGACCAAGTTCTTGCGATGTCTTACGACGAGCGAACACGTTGGCAAGCTGGTGCCGTCAACGACACGACCCTGCAACTGCGTTTCGCCAGAGTAAAAGTTTAGCGGTTGTTGCGAGATCAAATGTATGTAACATCGATGAATAATGGTTGTTTATATTGTCGCCAAAAGTTTTTTGTGGCAATGGTGAACGAACGATGCGCAAAAAATAGGGAATATGCAGAAATGCGAGTGTTCCGCCCGACGGATGGCGCCAGCACATTCTCCATCATTAAGAGATTTTAAAAGGTTCTTTAGAGAGCTCAGTCGTGTGTAGTCGCAAGTGCGCAAACCAGATGGAAGAGTCGGACCGAAAAACCGCGACCGGCGGTCCACTCACGTCGTCTTCCTCAGAGGCAGCCCGCTTCTTCTTCTTCTTCTTGCCCTTCTTGCGCTCTCCGTCCCCGCTCTTGCCCTTGCGCTTCTTGCCCTTGGTTTTCTTGGGCTTGGGGGGAGTCTCAGGGGGCTCCTCGTCCTCGTCGGGCCCCCCGCCCGGGCCCTCGGGGTCTTCCTCGACCCCGCCACCCGAACTGCCCAGGTTCGGCGTCGGGGGAGCCCTGGTCGATGCCCCGTCAGACTCCTGGCTGGCCCCCCCGCCGCCCCCGCGCCCGCCCGGGTCTTCGTCGTTCTCGTCCTCCTCCGCCGCTTCCGAACCTGCAACGACGAAAGTTGCGACGGCGTCAGGGCTCGACGCAGAGGGACAGCTTCTCCCCAACATTGGGCCACTAAATATTCTTCAATGGGGAAGTAAAACAGAGGGAAAAATGTACTTGAAACAGCAGCAGAGGTTTTCATTGACAGACGTTTTGTTTAGAACTCTGCACAGGCCGGGCCAACCTGAAAGCCTGGCTCAACCCGTGCCAGGGCTGGGTAGCAAGGATTGTTTCCAAGCCCGGGCCGGGTGGCACAAATTGTTCCCCTTGGGCAATGGTAAAAAGCGCACTTTCTAAAACGTTGGGAAGGAAACACAAACGCATTAATTGTCTAATTTGAAAAAAAATGAAAAGCCGAAATGCGATCTTGTTACGACGCCAATAAAAAATGAGATGATTACATATCTCTGCAACGCGAAATTAGAGCGCAGCTGTTGAGGAGGAGGAGGGGAGGGTATGCCCCTCCTCCTCCTCCGTACAACTCATATAGGTGTTGAGGTCACGTGACGTCGGAATTCCCGCTAAATCTAGCGGAGAAACTGAATTTGTTCATGGGTGACATGACACGAAGTCATGCGACGTCATTTTCCCCGCTCAATTTGGCAGGGCGGTTACGCCGACGCCAAAAAAAAAACCAAAAACAAGTGCCTAAAAGCTGTGCTCAAAAAAAAAAAAAAATCTTTGAAAGAAATAAACAGATGAATACTGGGGATTCCATCAGCATAAAGGGACAACTACCAGCAGGCAAGAAGGGCAATTTGGTCACAGGGGCCAGTGTGATTGTCTTTCACTTTTCTTTTTAAACTCGGGAAGAAAAAAAAAAAAAAAGCCCTCTGGCTACCAAAGATAAGTTATGCCCTCTATGTTTGTGCAAGATTTCGAATGCTCACCACATGGACTGCAAGATGACACCATATTTCATGCAAATTAGTAATTTAATCAAATGCACCAACACCTTCCCAGGGCAGCTTTGATTTTGAGATGAGGCACGCTTTGGCCTTTCCCCGGGCCAGGCCCAGACCAGACCTGATCAGGTAGGCTACCCATCGGGCCGAGTCCAGGTCGGGTAAGATAAGTAACATAAGAGTCAGCAGGCCCAGGCCGGGCCTCAAAAAGTAGGCCCGTGCAGTGCTCTTGATCTATGGTTCTTCAACTCTGAAAGTGCGGCTGAAGAGTACTTTTTAACAGTGTAATGGTATCAACACTGGGGGTCCATGCAGAGACCCCCTGGCATTGTACCAATAAATGTTCTTCGCCAGGGAAGTCAGACAGAGGGATAAAAGTTAAAATAGCAGCAGAGGTTTTAATTGAGAGACGTTTTGTGATTCTTTAAGTATGAAAGTGCAGCTGAAGAGTACCTTTTATGATAAAACAGCGTGAAAAAGAGAAAGAGAATGACAAGAAAAGTGAGTGAGTTGAGACGAATAACACAGGTGCAGCACAAAAAAAAAAAAAAAAATCAAAATGCCTCTCCATTTTCTCGAACACAGGAAGATGAAGATGACCCTTCCTACTAGACAGACTATGCTCCTGTATTCTTTTCTCTCTGAACAATAAACTACTACTAAATGCAAACTATCAAAAACAGCAACTAAAACACAGTTGTAACAATTGTGGAAAAAAGCATAAAAAAAAAATTTCCTCTGGCCCATCAAAATATTGTTTCTAATACAATGTTTTAAAACATCTCGCCAAAAGAAGAAAAGAAAAGGTGTACAGGTCAGGAGTTGTGACACATGGATGGCAGAAGGGGCCATAAAAAAACACGACCTGTTAACATATGAGCAGGATATGAAAATAGAACCAAATAGCAAAAACAACCTTCATTACTTAGTATCTACACCGGATGATCAGTAGAATGTCTTATCCCATCTGCCTGTCGCGTAAAGATACTATTAAAAAGCAGTGTTGGGTGAAGTGCATCTCAAAAGTACTTGAAGTAAAGTGGAAAGTAAACGAGAGGTTATGTACTTGAAATAAAGTAAGTGCACCAGGCGTAACATACTTGAAGTAAATAACTACCAATACAACTAAAGTATGAGTACTTTTTAACACAATCTTTCATGGTGTCCTTCCAATCCTTGAGGGGGAAGGGGAGACACCTCAATTATTGCAGGAAATGGCGGCGAATTTTGAATTAAGTTGAGTGGCCACAGAATAGTTGTTTACTCTTGCATACAAACTATTTAACACAATCAACTTATAAGGCACTTATTTGTATCTGTCTTATAGCCACCATTACTTCACTAAGAAAAATGATCAGATGTTGTCTAGAAGACGAAAGTGTGTTTCCACATAACTATATGCCTTTATTTTATTTATTTATTTTTTTTTTGTTAAAGGTTGGTGAATTTTTATACCCGGCCTCAGAAGTTGTGTATAGTACTGGGGAAGCCAAGGACTTGAGCGCATGGCTCTTGAAAGAGCTTAATTTCACCGAGACCAAATTTGGGAAATGTACTTTGAAGTTGGAAGTTATACTTTCCTCAGGAAGTACCAGAAAAAATACTTTTAATAAAGTACAAGCACTCAAAGAACATTTTTCGAGTAAAGTACAAGTTTTCCAAACCTACTTGAAGTAGTACTTTAAGTACAATGTACTTAAAGTACTTCCCAACACTGTTAAATATTGTTAAAAGTCATGTTTCACCCCTAAAACTCTAATTCATCTTTTGTAATGTCAAGCTGCTTGAACAACTTTTTTCCTTAGCCCCCACCATGCTTATACATGGTAAATAAAGCTATTAGTATTATTATTATTATTAACTGCAGTGTTCCATTTTCTCACTGGGCTCTGAACCTGCTGCTGCATGAAATCAATGCAAATTTGGACATAGTGAAGCTAGCGAGTTGCCAAAATTCAAGGACAAATGTCCCATACATTTTTTTATGAAAATACAAGAAAGCCTAGCTTGGTTTGTATGCACGTTTTCGGCACTTACCGTAAAATACCGAGATGTTTCCAATTTTAGGGGTGGGCGCTTAGTGCGGAATGGACAGATGCATGGTATTCTATGGTACTCTATTCAAATTTAAAAATATTTTTAGCTTCTTTGGAACACAATTTGCAACTCTTTCAATACCAATAAAAGATACAAGGCATTTGGGTGCGACGCCACCAAATGGTGAATGTTTGGAAAGTGAGGTAGGTCTTGGCAAAACACTTCACTGAATACAAACACGAGAGTCCAAATGTAATGTGTGGTGCCTTGATTAAAGAAAGCTGTTAATTTGGACGTCCACGTTTCCCTTAAAGAAATGGGCTGCTTCAGAAGCTACAGTCTCATCCTGAGAACCAGTGTCATCTGACATAAACCAAACACCAAAAAAAGGACTTCTGTACATTATTGTTTGAGGCTTGAGCATGAGTTAATGGCTTTTGAAAATGCCTTCCTTGTACTTGTGCACACGAAAACACTTCAATGAGCCGCAGTTATTCCTATGCCTTCAACAACACTGCACTCAACTTTTCAGAAAAAGCCTACCCCTTTTCCTAAGCCTTCCCTATTTCTAAAGTTATAAAAAAAAAAAAGAAAAATCATGTAAAAATACAATGCAAGCTTCAAAGGCAAACATTTGCAGAACTATCCGTGTACTCATAACCACAGCATAAGCCCAATTTGAAGTCTGAGTTGTTGTCAGTACCGGTTACCCTGAAAAATCAGTTTTAGACAAGAGTTTTTAAAGGACCAGCACTTATCTATCGTTTGGGAGAACAGTCGACTAAACCCTTGGATTAATATTTTGATGGGCGTGTTGACGCACCTATCTTCATTTTCTTAATAAAAGAAACCTCAAGTGGCACCAGTTGATGGAACTGACAAGAGGAACCAATCTTACCAATCTTGAGGTACAGACCGAGAAAGTACTGGGCCGACATTGTCACCTCAAAAATAATGTGTGAGGTTCAGCTAAACCAAAGTTGCTCACTCTATCCCTCAAACAAAATATCACTAGATACCTTACAACAAAAGCACACCATTAAAAATCAAACAAAAAAAACATGAAGCAGGCAATGCCAATGGACACGCATCGACACTGTTGCGCATGGGATGCTTATATAATGGAGCTACCACTGGTTTAGAGTAAATTAGTCTAGGTGATCAACAACTGTTACTGCTTCTTGGAACAGAAACTAGAAAATCATAAACACTCTGCTTGAGATCAGTGAAGGCAAGCTGCTCAGGGGGGTTGACAGTAGGGTTGCAAATCTGACTGACCTACCAATTAAATGATTATTGCATTAGTAGCTAAATGATTTCTTATGACCCCAATTAACTGGCCAAAGGTGGAAGCTTCAATGAAGTTGTCACAAATCCCAAGTATTTCAGCCACCTTCGCCACGTGAAACAGTGTTTAGCACAAGACTCGTAGTTGACAAACACAGTAATCTGCTGTATTTGAAAACATAAATAAATTACAAAACAAAAGAACTAGCAATGTCAGACAAATGTAAATAAACTGCTGTTTATCTAACTGGCAAAATAAGGTGCAAGCAAATTAACAGTTCAAATTAATGCCCTGCTTCTTCGTACTGTTATTCATTACAATTGTGATGAACAACCAGTGAAAGTGTAATTCATCTTGACTTGTCAATCTTGCCCAGCCATATAAGCTAGTCATTTTGCACATTTTATTATTCAGACATGTACTCAAGGAATATAAATCCTGCTTAGCTTCCTGTGCGACAGCACTTCTTATTGGCGTTGTGCCCCGTCATCCGTATAAAAACACTGTAGCTGGCAACCTGACATCAGTAGAGAAGCATAAAGATTTGCTGTCCTCTACCTCTGACATCTGACCACGGAATTTCAATTCATTCCAAAGACCACTTTAAACAAAACAAAACAGCATAATCAAAAACACACTGTCCCCACATTGCTCAGGCTACATGAATCCCAGCAAATCTGTTCCCCAAATGTAAAAATGTATAATTCCACAATACTTGAGCAATTCCACCTCAGCTTCCAGATAACCTAGGCCAATTAATCAAGACATGAAAGATCACCGATCCATTGGTTCAAACTTGTCAGTCAGTTAAGTCGGAGTCCTACTAGAGTGGCAAACAGAAGCAACAGATGCCCACATGCCTAAAGCACGCGCAGCATGCTAGCGAAGGCATGTTTGACAGGCATTCAGTCTCTCGGTGCTCTTGAAGTAAGCATGAGTGATTGCAAGCCTGCCAAAGATGCCTTAGCATGCGTGATGCTATACTCATTGTCACCTCAAAAACAAAATGCAAGTTTTGTGCGTTGTTCATACGCCATGCGAAGGATGTCTTACAGGATTTGGTCGCTGGAGGAAGAGGCGATGCTTCTGGCACTTCTGTGCGTCTTGATAAGATAACATATATATCTAATCTAAAATTCACCTACATATATCTTAATTGTCCACACACACGGGGAAACGTGCAAACTAGTATAGTGTTTGAGGCTTGTTGGTATCGGTGTCGGCTGTTTGTCTGTCGCTCTTTTGGGACTCTGGCATTACGAAGCCAGTGTAAAATTTGTTCTGCAACCCTTGTGGTACATGGAACGAGTGCAATATCTGACTTGGTTTTGGCGCGGCATCGGATTCAAGGCAATGAAAACCAGTCTCGAAATAGCAAGTCTGTTGTTCTGATCGCGTGACTGCTTTGTTTAGAGCCAAATTTGGAAAAGACTACAGTACCATTTGGTTGTGCATGGTCAGCATCACAACAGACTACACTGGAATCAGTATTATTGTAAATCGGAATAGGGTTTTCCACACAAACTATGTGCAAAACAGAAAAAAAATACTGTCAAGGGCCTCATTTTCATAAACTCTATATTATGAGGAATCAACCCGGACTAACGTTTTGGGCATTCTGAAGGCAGTAAATTGAACAAAAGCAAAGATGCAGAAAGGTCACATATGCAACGAATCATGTTTTGCTGAGCCACACTTAAGATTGACAATTCTAAGATTAGGTTCCTAAAAGACGGGTTGTTTACATTAACGTTCCAAAGGTAGGTAACAAAAAAATTATTATTATTCGTTGAAAGTAAGTTATGTCATGGCTTATCCAGCAGGAATGTATCAAAGTATCAGATATGTGTGAACTCAACAAATTATCACAAAATTTTTAAAAACTGTTTGCACTGGTCAGCACAAAAACAAACATAATGGTTCCCAGACAAGGCTTTTTCCTAACCTTCTGCAACCATCTAGATCAGGGGTGCACAACATGCGACCCGCGGGCCGCATCTGGCTCGCGGACACTTCCTGTGTGGCCCGCGAACATTACACTGCGAGATATGCTTAAGGCGGCAACCTGTGCGATGATGCCAGATGTTGGAAACGTGTCTGCCAGTTATTAAAGACCTCCATAGTTCCCAATAAGGATTAGTTTGGCCAGCGTCATTTTGGAGTTCTGCAGCCCTGATCTAGATGATAGGCAGATAAAACAAAGGGTAGGAACAATAGATTAAAACAATTTATTATTATGATTAAGTGCTTAATGGTGTAGAAGGCTAGATAGACGATGCTGTGCCAAAGATTAAAACAAAAAACACTGTGTTATCCAAAACATCCAATGCACGTTTCCAAACCCAGCTAACCAAACCACATGGCCACTAAAACTTCAGATTGGTGCTAGATTGACAACAGCCAGTAAGACAAATCAGTAGTGTTGCATTGGGCACATTGATATATGTGAGGGCAAGACCAGCAATCTCCAAGCTCTCATAGTGATATGATAAGCTCAGGGCAGAGAAACCACCTTTTTCTTTTTATGTGCTCTTGTATAAAGACTTTCATGCTTTTCTGCGAAGGAAAAGATAAATTGGTTAAAGCGAGTGTTGTAATTATGAATACTTAAAATAGAAAGAAAAAAACAGGATGTTTTGTGGTTGTCTGTGAATGTCTTCAATGTTTTTGTTCTTTCCATTTTAAGAAAATATAAATTAGTATGTTGTCTTATTTTTTGCTCATGTGCGTAAGTTGTAGCTATACCCTATGATGAAATGTTAAAACACTAGGTGATTTCACATTGCTATGTTGTCATTGAAGGAATGGTTACACGCATATAACACTCCCCATGAGCCCATGGACGCTCCCAAATAAATGCCACACCACTAATGTGATTGGCTGCCATCAGTCTTGCACCTCGCACAAATAAGAGTGCAATCGAGTCCTTTAGCTAAATGTGATTGGAATTTTACAGTAGTCTTTGAACTGAAGGGGTCAGAGACGATAAAAGTACTACCCAAAGGAAGTTTTCATTTGCACAACCCTACAATGATTGCATTAGTAACTATTAAAAGTTTCCATTAAATTTATTTTAAATAGAAAACAGTAGTGTTATTGCATAAAAATGAATGAGGCATAGAAACCCTGCTGAGCTAGTATCCGATAAACAAGAACCTTCGAGATTAATTTTTTTAAAAGAAGCTCCCCCAAAACAAATGTCACCCGTGTCACATTTGCAGGTGCCTGCCTCCTAAAATTGCTTACTCAAGCCATGCAACGTTCAGTCAGGAAATATTCTTAAGACCCAATCGGCAACAGATTGTGAATGTGCCTCAAATTCGTTTGACTTTTAATACCATGTGATTAGTTCCCTTGAATGTTTTTATTGTATGACTGGCACTTTCTTTGTATTGCACCTCAATTCCTGAGATATGCTGCTGTTGTAAACTGCAGTCTGCCTAGAATGACCAAGACAATCTTGAAGATCCTAGGCAAATTGAGTCTGGATCATCTATGTGCCATTGCAAAACACATCTATGTGTGATCATCAACTGTTATAGCCTAGTATCATCTGACATGATTTATAATGTCATGCAAAACCTACAACATTCACTTTCTTCAAGGACATCTGTAAGCGTTGTCAAACAAATTAGAAATTGCATAGTTGGTAAGCAAAAAGGAAATACCAACGGAAAAGGCGAGATCAGGTCATGTTCATACAAGTTTCACGTTTATTCGCTTTCTTTGTTAGTCGGTGAAGCAATTACTGGCTTTTGTCCTATCCTAGTCTATGTCGACGGCGAACAGCGTCAGTAATGTCAAGAGAGTCATTCATTGATTCCAAACACTACAGCTCTCAACCCAGAAGTATGACTCAGGAACGTCTTAAACTTTCTAAATCTTAATATCGTGTGAAGTCCTGGCTGATTGGCGATGACCCGCGCAAAGCAGACGATCATAGCATGTAGAAGCTTCTAGAGATTGGACGCTTCGACAGTTCAGCGAAATCGCAGAGAACGCCCGTCCCAGCTGGCAACCTCGCCACCAGCGACACAAAGTCTGCCTGCCAAGAAAAATCAAATTTAGAAATAGGTTGCCAGCTTGACGCTGCACTTTCGAAATTGAAATTTTATTTCCAACGCAACAGCCATTTTGAAACAAAAACAGACAAAAGCTTTCCTAGCCTCGTTCCTGGGTTCGAATCAATATGATAATGAGATATATATATCCGGATAGTTATCCCCCCGCCGCCGTCTTCCTCCATTGACGATCCGCAGCAGCAAAAAGAAAGATTAGACCCGGGTCTCAAAAGAGGCCCCGATCTTGACTCTGACTGCATTTTCGAACCTCACCGACACTCCCGGGGCTAAGACAGGGGCGCGGGACGACCACGCGAGGCCACAACAACAGTCCCATGTGCTCGCAGCGGCGCCGGTGAAAAAAAGGTTGCGGGGCACAACGCCGGGAGCGACTAGGCCTAGCGCGATCGCGGCGCTGGCGCGAAATTTCGTCCCGGCTAAAGAGCTTTCAAACGAACCGCTCGCGCTCGGATTGGGCTCGAAATCGAGCACAGGTCGTCCGCACATGTCCGCGGATTCGAGCGAGGCCGGCAAAGTAGGCTCGGACGGCGATCTCGACGGTAGAAAACGCGAGCCGCGGTCGGGGGTGCGGGGAGCTCCCCATCAAAAGCCGCCAGCGTTTCGACAGGTAGGGCAGGCGCAGACAGCGTCTCGTCGGGTCACACACACACAAAAGCCCGAGTGCGAAAGGCTTGCTCACCGGCTAAAGAATCGTCTTCTGCTTCTTCGGTGGCCATCTCTTGGTCTTCGGAGTGATCTTCGTCACGTCCGGGCGGCGTGGGCATAGCACTGTGGCGAGAAAAAAAAAAAAAACCTCTGTCCAAAAACTCTCGTGGGGCCGGGGAGCCGCAGCCGCCGCCGAACACAGGACTATCGGCGTAAAGATGTCTACGTTATTTTCTCGCTTTCCCTCCGCTCCTTCCTCGCTACAAAAGTGGAGGAGGGAGGAGGGGGGGATGAAAACGGAGGGGGGGTCGGAAAACTGGATCTGCGCATGCGCGAAGGTGACGTCACGCACATCAGATAACCCCACCGCGGGGAGGGGGGTAAAAACAAATATAAAAATACAAAAAAGAAAAGAAAAGGAATCACGTGATTGCAGTTAGAAATAATAATAGGCCTCTTTTTGAGGAAGGCGCCTCGGAGCGTACAGTACTTGCGTCGCGAACTTAAACATCACTCGGGTTCTTTAAAAATCAAGTTTTAAAAAGCACGAATCATGGCTACTAGCAATACGCGTTCCGGTTTTCGTCTAAATAATACAATAATAAAGCGAGATTTTTTTTTTTCTTTCTTTTTTTGTTATTTTTTGTTGGCCTATAAAATGTGTGGGGTCATTAACTTTTCTGAATAGGCACCTGTCATTCACAGGTTCGGGATACGTTTGAAATCGTCGACATAGTCACAGGGGCTCTCTACTCACGATGGAATACATAAGGCGATCTTACGATTCCTACCGTTCACGCACATCTCCCAAACACTTGAAGAGAGCAGATCGCGCGGAAGCCCAAGATCACGAAATTTTACATGACCTAGGTCTACAGTTCGAGATAATTAATGTCCTGCTTCTGCCACTTCTAGAGAACGCTTTGCATTCGCGAGAAACTGAGAGCCCACTAAGAAATGCGCTGCAGAAAAAAATAATCCTTGCGCACAGCATATTTTATCAATCGGAATTATTCTGTTATATTGACAAAACGATCGTAATCGATAAGTGATAATCAAATTCGATCAACATTACGTTGAAAAACAAGCGCAGCAGCTGTTAGTGGCACACGTCAACCATTGCTACACATTTTGCGTATATATAGTTTTTTATTTTTTTTTTTTATTTGTTCGGTTCTTTTGGCCAACAACTGCGTCGGTCTGCTCTCTTGGTTCCCTTTCTCTCTCTTAGTGGGGGAGCGGGTAGCGGAGAAGGAGGAGGACCGGATATTTAGAGACAGATAGCTGCAACGCGAGGAGAGGGAAAAAATGAGGGAGAGAAGAGAAGAAAGAAGGGACTTGTGGAGAGGAGAAAAATGGGGGAAGGCACGGGGGACCGTATACTCAACTACTTTATATTTATACCTATACTTATCCTCGTCTCCCCCCTTTCTGAACGCAACGCGCAGAAAGAAAGCCGAGCGATTCACTGTATGCAAAAATGGCGGCGAGGCATCACTCGATTTACTGTCTGCTATAACTATCTTTCTGAAAAAAAGGGGGTTCTTTTACTTCGAAAGATTGCTCGTCATTAAAGTGGTGCAAGCGCCGAATCGAACCGCAGATTTCATCGGATATTTAAGCAATGTTGCACGGGATCGTAATATTGCTCCCTTGTTTAATTTTTTTTTCTTTTTTTTTCTTCTTGTATTTGTATTATTATTATTTTAGATTTTAAGCTACGTGGAAGCGACAACACGTTAGCCGAGGAGACATGGGTGATGACGCGTGTTTGTGAGCGCCGTTGCCTGTTTGAGCTGTCTGCTACGTCGCTATGTTGTACAGCAAGCGTCAACAAATTGTGATGCCCTGCTATTTTTTGTATAATATCTATATAGAAAAAAATAAAAACGGAAGTATGAAGGAATGGTCGCCTTCCATTTGGATTTCTTGCCTTGGACGGCGCGCTAAATCGCTAACCTTTTTGGAAAGGGCGCAATATAGTACACGCGTTTCATAAAATAACTTATAGGCACTTCTAAAAATATATATAGATAATTTTGTTTGTGTGCTTGTTTGATTTAATTTATTCGAGTTAATTCGAACTAATTGTAAAGTTTTAATTCTCAGGTATGTAGCAACCCGCCCGAGCTTCAACTTGAGCAACAGAGAAATAGTTTTACGTCGCGTTTATTGCCTTCAAGGTACAACGTTTATTCACTTGTCAGCATAGTCGCCTAAATACTGTTAGCGCTTGTCGGTACAAAAAAAAAAAAAAGTGCCTTCCACTTTTTTGGCAACCGTGCAGTTCAGGAGCGTTGTCTGGAGATGTGGCAACGTGTGTAGTTCAGCGCCTCGTCGTACCATCATGCCACCACCATTTGTTCGATGCAGTTAGAAACTAGCATAGTGGACGAAGATGCCCACTCGACGATATTGTCAAAACCGTACCGCTGTCCTTTAACTTGTGTCATCAGAAAACTAGAGAGGAAACATTCTTTGCAGTTATGAAAAACGTTATCCACACGTTCTGTTAAGTGTTTGGATTGCTTAAACCACTCAGTCGAAAAAAGAAAAAAAAAATCGTAAGAAAATAAACATGTACCTTTCATAATTTTCGTTATGTTCAAGTTGTTCAAAACTGTAACTTACTTTTTGATACGCTCTCATATAATGAGAATATGCCAACTTTGATGACGTTACTTCCTGTTTTTGGAAGTTACAGCGTTCCTTTGACCACCTCCATGGGCTCCGATTTGAAAGGATTATAAGTAAAAACTAACCCCCTCATGTAATAAAAAATAATAATAATAAGCCGTGCTTTTTTTTTTTGTAAAATGATGCGAAGTAGGTTTTTAATTTTTGTGTGCAGTGGTTGCTTTTCATTGAAGTCAAGAATAAAATGTATAGCGTATAAAATGTTTTATAATAGCTGACAAAAGTAAAACGCACAAAATATAATGCAAAAAAGTTTTCCTTTTTTTTTTTCATAACGATTTCTTTGTTTTCTGTCTTTAGGAAACACGTTACCTTTTTCTCGACCTTCTTGACTGCGGTTACCTCAACAACCCCAGGATCACTATGCGACTTTCGGAACCTCTTTGTAGGTGGTTTCAGTAGAGCTAGTTGGCGCATGATACCATACTCGGCGACAACTTTTCTTGGCAATGCATTGGAGGGCATAGGCACGCGTTCCCTCTCCCATGTTGAGCGCTGAATAAAGCTGTGCGCGGGCTCTCCTCCTCTCCCCTGTATTTCCAAGAAAAGGTGCCGCTGAGTGTAGCTTTGACTCCGAAAACGTAAAAGTACAGAGATAGGAAAAGAGACAGAGATATCGCTTTTTTGTGGGGTTCCCATCGTTGGCACAGGTCGTTTCTCGACATATTCCATCTGGAACCGATATATGGTCATACGTAATATACACATTTCATCGTTTTAATTAAAGCACGTTTGAGCATAACTCGGGAAATGGTGAAAGCAGATGGGCTATAGACCGCCGCAGCAAGGCAAAGAAATTGCTGGATGGTGGGTGAACGTCTGTGGATAGTTCCCACCTGCTTCGTTCAAACGCTCTCACTGGTTCACTGGAACCATAGCTTTATCCGTTCGCCACGTTAAGCTGAAACGCAGTACAACCGGAGTTGTATGTAAGGCTCTAAAAAATTACATTTCGTAACTTAGTTACTTCGAACTCGGGCTTCATTTGAGTAACGCATTTTCGTTACTTTCTGTCCGAGTAACGAGTAAGGTTGCTTGGTCACTTTATTTGTAAGTACCGTATGTTGCAGACTCTAGTCCGCAAGGGCAACTTTTGAGTCACAAATAAAAGATTTTGCTTAGATAGTCCGCACGCCGTGCATATTCGGCACTTAGTACCTAATCCCAACCTTATCGTACGCAGCACACCTGGACAAATGCCTGCCGTATTAACCAACAAATTGAAGCTTGTATCATGTATTTTAAGAATGCATTTTACATTTTAAGCATGCAGCCGGATGTGCTCCCTGGTGCCTTGCGTCAAAACCGTTTTTGCACCTTTGCAGCCTGTGTTTGCCAGAACGGAGACACCGCCGACTGCGTGACGGTGCAGGTTTTAGGAGGCGCACGGCAGAAGTTTGAACCGAATGCCGCCATTTTGTTCCAGCGGAATGTGCTTTGTCATCTGTGTTGGTTGTCGTTACTTGTAAAAGTATCAAGGGACTTTAGCCTCACCCTGAGCGCGCGCCCACGTCACGGGAAGAAATTATACTTTTACGCCCGCCGCGAAGTGACTATCACCTCCGCCATTCGCTACCATAATCATTTGCGCCTGTGTACATAGTAGTTGTTATTACTCTCTATCTCCCCCTCTCCCCCCCTCTCCCCCATTTTTTTTTTATTTTTTTGCTTTTGGGATTTACGTTTTACCCCCCCCCCCCCCCGGTCTCTCCTGGGTCGAAAATTAATTAAATGAAATGAAACACAGAAATTATCATTAACGTAACATGCCATTCACAAAATCCACATCTCGTCATAACAAACCGTCTTGAAAAAAAAAATCCTTGTATAATCGCGCCTGTAGATAGTCCGCCATCAGATTGGCATCTGATGGCGACGGACGAGGACGTGTGCGGCAGCTGCTCCAAAAAGTTTTTTTGTCAGACAACAATTCCTGCACTGCTCGGGCATCTGTGGTCGGCGCTTCCATTGCCGGTGCATCAACGTCGCACAAGAGCACTATGACTTGCTCATGAAAGATGGGTCAAGCACGTACAAGTGTTCATGCTCCACGAAACGGAAGAGTGACAAGGACAATGCTCAGAGTGCTTTCCTCTCCCATCTCGATCCTGTGAGTGCTAAATTTCTACGTGACGGCAGCAATGAAGGTGACTTTCGTGAACTTATAATCATGCTTCTGAACAAGATTGATGGTTTTTCCGCCGATGTCAAGTCACTGAAGGTCGATAACGAATTCCTCCGGGTGCAGCTAGCTCAAAACAATGCCTTGCTGCGGAAATCTGTGCCCTACGTCCCTGAGGCCGCGAGTCGCTCTTCTTCGAAAACGTTTTCATCAGTTGTGTGCCTAATTCTCGACAGCCAGAGGCGGAGGCAGCTACATCGGTGCTACGACAAAACCCCGGAGAATGCATCGGGACCTCGACCTGAAAAGGCGCATTTGTTGCCCCGCCGTCGACCGACTGTGGACAATGAACGATACACACCTGTTCGTCGTAAAGAAATAGTGAAAGTGCTTGAGGGGTCCAGGCCAGAGAGCAAGCTGAGTG